ACGACCCAACTTTAATGCTTAAAAAAGTTTTAAATGCCACAATTTTAGACACATTGCTTCGGATTGCCTAAACTAAGGGGTGGTGAGTTTTGTAAAAGAAGTTGAGGAAATGGAAGAGGAAATTAATGGTATTGATCATTTAGTTCGGAGTTGAGGATCCGAAAGAAATCTTTAAATATGACAGAGAGTTACTAGTTATTTGTAGGGCTCTCAATGTTGAGATAATAAGAAAAAATTATTTTAGACATAATATCTTTCATACTTATTACACATCACGGACAAAGTTTGTGACTTGATCATTGATAGAGGGAGTTAAGAGAAGATAATATTAATAAAGATTGTGAAAATATTCATCATATCGAGTATGGATCACCCATACCCATACAAGTTCATGTGGTTGAGAAAAAGCAATGACTTTTGAGTGACTAAAAAGTAATAAATATTAAGGAAATGCTTAACATATTGATCTGTGGATCATCCATACCCATACAAGCTCATGTGGTTGAGAAAAAACGATGAAATTTGAGTGACTAAGAGGTGTCTTATTTAATTTTCAATCAACAAAGGTACGAAGAAGAGTTGTGGTTCGATATGATTCCTATGGATGCATCCATATCTTATTAGAGCAACCATGCAATATGATAAGTGAGTGGTTCATGATGGATTTAAAAACAAATACTCTTTCGATCTAAAAAGAGAAAAGGTTGTACTCATACCTTTGAGGAAAGGTCATTAGGTTAAATCATAAAATGGCCAAAAGAGGTTATTTTTTAGTCTATGTTCATTAGAGTCTTGGTGGTGTTAAGAAGAATAAAAGGGAAATCGAGATTTCGAAGGAGATGAGCCACTACTTCAATAATATAAAGTTGAGGTACCATATGAGATATCAAAAGGTTTGTCATCAATAAAATACATTGAACATACCATTGACTTCATGTTGTGATTTGTAATTCTATATAAACTGGTATATCAAATGAGTCCAAAAGATTATGAGGAGTTACAACATTAATGGTCGAGCTTATGACAAGGGATTGGTGATAAAGAGTATTAGTCCTTATGCATTTCTAATATTATTAATGCCAAATAAGGATGGATAATAGAGAATGTACATTGATAATAGAGCTATACACATGATCACAATCTAGTATCGGTTTCTAATTTTAAAGCTTGATGACTTGATAGATCAATTAATAGATTTTTTATCTTTTCGAAGATAGATTTGAGAAATAGATACTATCAAATAAGAATAAGGTCGGAAGATGGGTGGAAGATAGTATTTAAAAATTGAGATGGACTTTACGAATAGATGATGATGCCATAAGTTCGTCTAATACACCAAGCACTTTTATGAGACTAATGAATCAAATATCTCAACCTTATATAAGTAAATTTATTATTATGTATTTTGATGATATACTTGTGTATAGTTAAAAATTAAAAAGTACTTAGAGAATTTATAATGAGTTTTGATGTGTTAAGGGAGTAAGAATTGTATCCTAACCTTAAGAAGTGTCATTTTGACTAAAATAGTTATATTTTTTAGATATATGGTAATCAACTAAGGTATTCAAATGGATTATAAAAAAAGTTGACCAATCTTACAATGGATAAAACCTAAGAGTGTTATAAGGGTTAGAAGCTTTCATTGTTTGGTGTCATTTAATAGAAGATTCATTAAGGGATTTACCACAATCACCACCCCTATCACCAAATTAAAGAAAGAAAAATTTGAGTGGACATGTGAACCTCAAGAGAGCTTTGAAATTTTGAAGCACAAAGTGATAGAGGCCCATGTTTTATGACTACCTAACTTTATAAAAGTCTTTGAGGTTGATTATGATACCTCTAATGTGGGCATATAAGCCATGCTTAGTTAGAAAGGAAAACCTATTGCATACTTTAATGAAATGTTGAATGATGTAAGAAGGAAATACTTAACATACAATAAAATAGTTTTATGTCATTATTATAGCTCTAGATCATCAACAACACTACTTGATAGCCAAAGAGTTTATCTTGTTTTTTTATCATGAAGCTCTTAAGTACTTGTATAACTAAGATAAGTTGAAGAGAAGATATGCAACATAGAGTGAGTTTTATCTTTATTCAACTATGTACTTCATCACAAATCTAGAGTTTAAAATAAATTAGTGAATACACTTAATCGAAGATATGCATTGTTCACTCGCTTTGTAAGTTATGATTATTGTTTTTGAGATGATGAAAGACTTGTACAAGAGAGATGAAGATTTTAGCAATATATGATAGTAATAAGCAACGTCTTTTCTCAAAAAATTTTATCTTAATAATGATTTCTTAATCAATGGAAATCATTTATACATACCAAGGTGTTCTTTAAGGGAAGCTATATTAATTAAATGTCATAATGGAGACAAAACACTTAGCATGGTGGCTAGAAGTTTCCATTAGCCAAGAATGCTAAAGGATATGGAAAGTTATATGCAAAGGTATAAAATTTGTCACTTAGCGTACATGCTATGTCAAAAGATGGGTCTATACACATAATTATCCGTTCTAGAGTATTATGGATGGATTTGAGTATGGACTTTATGATGGGCTTACGCCCAATGGTTTAAAGATTGCATAATGGTGGTAGTGGATAGATTCTCAAAGATGACTAATTTCATATTATGTAACAAAACAAAAAATGCAACACATATTACAAATATCTATTTTAGAAAGGTAGTTCGGCTTTATAAGTTACCAAAAACAATCACTTCGGATAGGAATGTGAAGTTCGAGAGTCATTTTGAAGAACATTATGGTGTTAGATGAGAGCTAAACTTCAATTTGGTTTCATAGTACATTCTCAAATGGATGGACAAATCGAAGTTATAAATAAAAGCTTCAAAAACTTATTGAGGAGCTTTATTGGGACAAACATATGGCAATTGGACTAATTTCTTTCCCAATGCAAGTTTGCATACAATCGATTACCGAGTCAAACTATAAGTAAAAATCGATTTGAGATAGTTTATAGAAGAAATCCAATCACATTGATTGAACTCCAACTAAAGCCAACATTGAAAGAGTTTAGTTTAAATATAGATGAAAGAGCTAAGGAGATAAAGAAGCTTTATTAACAAATAAGATAAAAGATAGCCAAGCAAAATAAGAAGTACCAAAGACAAGCTAATAAGTTTAAAAGGCTCGCAACCTTAAAAAGAAAAAGAACTTTTTATGGATTCACTTGTAAAAACGAGAGATTTCTAAATGGTCAATTTATAAAGCTTAGACCACGAGCGAGATGACCCTTTTCAAGTTGTTAAGCTAGTGGATAAGAATGCATACAATATAGTAGCTATCGAGGACTATAATGTATCAACTTCATTCAATGTTATCGAGCTATTACCTTATCATAGAGGAAAAGAAAGTTAAGATATCAAGGACGAGTCTTCTTTAACCCGGGACACTTGACACGAGAGTGTGGCTTAAGTTTTCATCATAGGGCGAATCTAGGCTTGTTTATAGGTTACCTTGTTTGATTTAGGTTACTTTGTTAGATTAAGGTTATTCGTCTAATCTAGGTTACCTTGTTTAATTTGGATTACTCGTTTTCTAAGTAGTATGTAAGGATTAGTGAGTCCATATTGTATAAGATAAAATTAATTATTTCTAATTAAGTATGGAAACTATTTAATGGTTGAATGTAACAAGGAATTTGTTTCCTTAACGTGGTTGCATATGGGCATTATGAATAGGATCTTCTACTATATGTAGAAACAACTTGTGATTTGATTAATAAAACTATCGAGACGTTTCCCTCCATATTGTGTTTCCTTGTGCTTTGCTTAGAAAGTATTTTGTATCTTTAAACTTGATCAATCAAGATGGTGTTATCAATAAACCAAATTTAACCAAAAAGTGTAGTGATGTTCTAAATCTCGCCAATATCATCTTAGGTTAAATCACTTTAATTAAAAAAATTGGTTAGAAAACACTCGAAGAATCATATTAAGAAAAATTAAAATATACAGGGAGTAGTTGAATAAAAAAAAGTACAAGAGCTACATTAAGAAAATCAAGTAGAGCAAAAGAATGTTTGATGCGATTAACTTAAAAAAAGAAAAAGAAAAAAATAAGGACAATCGTAGACCGGCGAATAACGAATAATCAAAACTACTATATAATCATGAAGGAATAAAAATACGTGTCCCAAAGTGTAAACAATAATAGAAAACGACAAGTGCTTCCGGAATGCATAGATGTCCGATTTTCATATGGCTTGCCTTATGACGGAGGCCGTCTTGCAAAAAACCTAAATCAAAAGAGCAACCTAAAGTCTAACTAAGTCTTTAGGTCCTAATGAAAAGATGCAATATGAACTCAAGACTATTTTCTAGTCTATATTCATCTTGACAAGATAATAGTCATTAAAGATTCATTAAATTAGGTAAATCATTTCATACTTCTTGAGATTAATTAAAGCATGAATCCTAGCTATAAACATAAACTCAATGTAAATTATCAATGTGCTAAAATTATTAATGGTTTGGTTTATTAAAACAAAAAAAGTAATTGATACCTTGGACCAACATATTTATATTCAATTAAATATAAGAATTTTTTACTTTTCTCTAAAAAACTAATGAGTCCACGAAGAGTATAAAGTATAAACTGTCTCGAACCCAGCCTATTTTGAACATTGAAAAATTGTTAGTTTTTCAAAATTTAAATATGGTGGGCCAATAGATCATGCACCAAACGATTTGACGAATCGATTGGGACCATCATTTTAGAAGATAATTAAGATATTGAAAACTATGGGAGCAATTTGAAATTAAAATTAATTGAGAGGACTAATTCCTGATTTAATATAAAACGGAAAGGAAGGGGAACTAGAAGGATCAAAGTGCATCCATCATCAGATCAAACGAAACACAGAGAATTGTTGTTGTTGTTGTTTTTTTTTTCGACTCTCAACTCCCTTAAAATAAAAAATAAAAAATCAAGAGAATCAAAATCAAGAAAGAAAAGAAATGGCAGCGAAACAAATGGAAGAGATACAGAGAAAACTAGGAATACTGAATTATCCAAGAGCCAAAGCTCCTGCTCAGTCTCTTCTTTTCGCCGGCATGGAGCGTTACGCTCTTCTCGAATGGCTCTTCTTCAAGTATACCATTTTCCTTTTTTTCTTCTTTTATAATTATCATGGCCTTTGTCACTTTTTTTCTTTTCTGGAAAACTTGAAGCATATATATATTTTCACTTTCTCTCTGTTGCCGGCTTGTTTGGTTACTGGGAAAATGCGAGTCAAGGAGAAAGCTAATTTGTGGAGATTTGCCTTGTTACTTCCTGATGATGTTTGTCTACTTGATAATAGCTGATTCCTTGGTTGCTGAGGCACTGTCAATTTGACCAAGAAATTTGGATATAAATGAATTAGCTTGGTTGCTAGACATGTTAATTTGGCTGTAAGAGAAATAATGAATTGCTGTCTGGGCATTTTAAATGTCTTTGCTACTGTAAATTGCAGGTTATTGGGTGATAAATCGCCATTCTCGCAGCAAAATCTACAAGGAGATGCTATGGATCGTGACGAAGAGACTGCTCGTATCCAATGTATGCCTTGTCTTTTTATCTCCTTTTTCTTTAAAAATTTATTTATAATCAGAAAATCAACCTTTTCTGTGTCATTGTATATTTAAAAATTGGCGTAGTTGGATAAAAAAATAATCTGAGCATAGATTATGATGGACTTGTGCAGATTTTAGTGTCTTTTCTTATTGTTACTCGAGTCTTGGCAGTTATGAGGGTTGATTGTATGCCTAATAATTATTTGATTAGAGATTTGGATGGCTGTGCTTTTAAAATCTATTATAGGTGGAGTTTTGAGTGATAAATGGTCATGAAATATGCTTGTGATTTGGTGTTTATTTCTGATAAAAGCTGGAATCAATTCAGGAGAAGAAACCAAAATTTGAAGTTTGCAACAGCTGCTATCAAATAGTAACCCTGTAAAGGTTTTTTTTTTTTTTTTTAATGATTGAGGCTAGTTCTTTCATGGATGGCTTTATGGTTTCTAGAACAGAATTTAGGGTTCTTAGGATTAAAAAATCAAGTTTTTGTTGTAAGTGAAGTCGCTTTAAATTTTGTAGAAAAGATAGAAAATTACTGGGGATCATGTTTAGAATTCTCTTTCCATTACACCAAGAATCATGGTTCATTAGTGGGGATTTCATATATACATATGACTTCAAGTAATGTTATTGCCTTAACCCATGAGTACTTGGAATCTTGGACTTCTAAAGAACTATATATTTCTTTGGTGGGCGAATGGATTTGGTACTTTCTTTCGGAAACTGATTCTCTTTGGCAATAAGGTTATCCATAGAAGTTTGGGCTTATTCTTAGGTTAATCTGGCAGGTTGCTGTCACCCTCTTTTCCTTTGATCAAATGTGAAGTTGGTGATGGTTATTTCATTCTCCTTTAAGATTGTGTTGAGGAACATCCATTGTCTATTGATTTCTGAAAACTTTATTGCTTTATTGGCTGTCCATCCTTCATCGAAAGCTCATCTGTAGTTTATAAATAGGGGAATAGTACTTCTTTGAAGTTTTATTTCTTCAGTGATCTGATTTATAGGGAAACTCAAGATCTTGAATCCTTACTTCCAACTTTTCTTGTTTAACCTTAATGTCTGATTGTAGTGTGTGGATTTAGATGGATATTATACGGCTTATTTTTTTCTTGAAGATTTCAACCAGATTCCAAACCCATTTCAATTTATCCTTAGCTAGCTTATCTGGAGTGAAGTGTATTGGTTTTTGCTTTTAATCTGCAATGAGTAGTTTACGAAATTTCATTTTTCCTTTAATTAAAAATTGATTTGGGAAAAAGCTTGGTAGGGAGTATTTTGTCATTGGTCATTGCTAGCATAGATGTTTGGACTTTCGCTTTTTGATAAACCTCTAGGCTTTACTTTCTATGTAACTTTATTTTTATAAATATTCTTTCATCTGGGCAACATGGCATCTCTGTTTTTGTTGTCTTTTTCTCTTAGCTTTTTGTAATAATATCAAAAAGGTTCATTAACATTTGTGATTATATTACCATTGTTGAAATTCAAAAGTAACTATGCATTTTATTGCAGATCTTGCTGAGATTGCAAAGTTTCTGGGCATCACTTCAACTATAGATACAGAAGCCATCCAAGTAAGTTGCTTCATTCCATATATGAAATATCTACTTGCGGATCAGTAATTGCCTAACTGTGTAAAAGTTTTTATACATTGCACTTCTTAGTTGACTTCAATAAGGTTAAGTGCAGTTGAGCATCCTTCTTAACTCTTGACGCATTCTTTCAATAGGAGCACTTGGTAGCTTATGAATTTGATTTCCTTTAGCATTTTACAAGTAATGCAAATGCTTATATCTACTTCGTATAATCTACAATTTTCGGATGGACCAATAGAATAATGACTGGTTAAGTGAAAGATTTTATGTCTTTTCAAATTAATTGAAATATCTAAATTCTTGATTGTGAAGATTAATATGGTCTATGAGCAAGTCAACTTGGACTTGTATCTTAGAGGTTCCAATCTCAACTGAGTGTGATGTCAATGCCTTTCTGTTTCAGGGGCGAGGAAGCTATGAAGACCGGACTGAAATGCTTCGTCTAATAGTAGATCTTGTGGAGGCTAGCATCTATGCTGATAATCCAGAATGGAGGTTGCATTTGCTTAAAGTTCGCTATTGAATTAGTTTCAACAGTTGTTCATCAGCTCTATGATCTTAAATGTTGTACTTTTTATTGCTTGTGTTTCTTTACATCTTTCATTGTTCTGAATTTGTTTGTATTATTTTGCAGTGTAGATGAACAAGTGGGGAAAGACATACAACTCATAGATTCCATTGCAGAGAAACAAGCTATAATTTTCTCAGAGGAGTGCAAGCTGTTCCCTGCCGATGTGCAGATTCAATCCATATATCCATTGTAAGATTATGTTATTCTACTCTCTCGTTTTGACTGTTCACTTTTCTTGTTGAAGTATCTTAAACCATGCCTGTTAATTGCTATCAAACACAAACCCCATTGGTGATTTTCAAGTTTGCCCCTGCCTTGATTACCTAGACAACTCGTAGAATCTTTTTACCGGATGACCAAGTTTATTGATAACTTGTTTTATATGGAACAAATTCGATTGTAGTCTTGAAGACGACATATGAAAGCAATTTTCAGAACACGACTATCAATGCTGGTGCCAAACGTATATCACATGATTATGCTTTCCAATTATACTGATATATGCTGATCATTATTTTTCATGTCACAAGATGTAGTAACATTAACTTCCTTTTATCAAAGTACATTTGCAGACCAGATGTATCTGAGTTGGAGACAAAGCTTGTGGAACAGTCAAAAATACTTCTGAATCTTCAGCAGAAAGTTGATGATTTGGCTTCTAAGGTTCATCCGCCTCTCTAATTCAATTTTTTTTTTCTTTTCTGTTTAAAAGGGTCCGTTTCTGAATAAGTATTCCCAGTATAAGAGTCGCTTCCAATTGCTTTTACTGTAAATAAGTATTAATGCAGCCTATTTTTTTCCATCTCATTTATATCTTATTTTCCCTTGTATTTAACTCTGTGCAACATGTATACATTTTATTTAGCATGCATACAATCCAGATGAGGAGTATGCTGATGTGGAATCCCAACTCCGCATACATTTGGAATCTTTTCTAGAAACTGCAAGATCATTCAATGTGATATACACCAAGGTCTGAATTTTCTCTGCCAGGTCTCTATTTATTATTTAAATCCTCTTGTCTGCTTGAATGTATCTGAACAAAGTAGTTTCTAGGAAACATTTTAGAAACTTCATGATCATTCAATTTAATTTATGAGGTTTCTGTGCTCCCTTTGAACATATATGAACAAAAGACCTTCTACATTATGCTGGATCTCTTTCTTGCATCAGGTGTTGTGAGTTATTATTCTTGTTCGTTATGTTTCTTTGTTTGGTTGATTATGATTCTTCATAGACATGCTTTAAGACAATTTCAGTAGAAATTCTCTTAAATCACGCTGTACATTTTTTATTGTTCTCAGCATGAAACTTTATTCTTGAAAGCTTATGCTTGAGCATCTATACGTTGAAGTCTATGATAATGGGTGCAAGTGTTCTCTTGCGGCATTCTAGCTGTAATCTGTTATTTTCTACCTTTTCAGGAAATACGCCCCTGGACACACATGATGGAAGTACCGCAGCTTCATGGGTTTGGACCAGCTGCCAACCGGTTGTTGGAGGCATACAAGATGCTTTGGAAGGTAACTCAGCTTCATTTCTTGTTTTTCATGTTTATCTTCGTGAACAGTTGCATTGTATGGATTTAATATTGCTTCTCATATCAACAATTTATTCAGTCATATGTCACTATACAATGGCTCATCATCATATAAAGCTATGACTGATAATACTTCATCACCTTGAGTTTATATGTGAATTTGTAAAACCAATACACCTCCTTCGGGGAGGTGATGCTCATGTGGATTCTAGTTCATTAATGTTTATTTTGTGAGAACCACTGACAAAACAGTAGTTTACACTTTAGCTAGCACCTTGACCTTCCAAATAGTGGAGCATATGAAACAACTGGGAGTAGGAGAGGAATTAGATGTGCCAAGAAAGATGCAGTAAGTAAATTTGTCATACCCTTTCAGAATCAGAAACCTTCTACATGTCCTTTAAAGGAAACATAAAAAAGGGGGAAAGGGGTGTGAGGACTAAGTAGTTGAGGGTAGATAAAGGCCCTCAATTTCCATTTTAAATTTCTGAAAAGGTTGAAATGCCAAGAAGGACTTTCTCCTTCAAATAAAAATTTAAGATTGGGGCATTTTGTTACATTAGTAATATGAAGCATTAAAACAAGATTGATTCTCGTACCATAAATCTTTGTAAAACTCAAATGAGGATTATCACTAACATTATATGTCACTAAATGAGAAAAGTAAGAAAACACCTGTGAGATGAACTTCCAAGGGCTTGCATAGGCAACATTGACCCATCCTAACCAACTGTTTTGATGGAAACTTACATTCTCCTCATCACCTTATGTTAAGTGGTTCTAGACCAGGGTAAAAAATGCAATTGTTTTCCCAGTAAGGCAGTTTTCTTGAACACCACATTATGGAGACCTGACATGCCCTTTACAGGACTAAACTAGAACTAGAAGTCATGTTTTTCTTTCTTTATGAAGATTTGGCTTATTTTCTGCTATACATCTGAATTTATATGGTTAGCTTAGATGTTTTTGAACAATTTGAGTTTTTTTCTCTTGTTCTCTCTTTTGTTTTTATTATTGTGCTCAAATGTCTCAGACGTGTTTTCCTGCTAGAAAATTATCAAGCACCCAACTGGTGGAATTATTAAAAGCTTGACAATGATGCTTTCCTGCATTATTATGATAAAATCTAATTGGTGATGATTTTTGGAGCTGGTGCATGTATGCTTTAGCCATTTACAGCATTTTGTAAAATACTCTGGTTGAACTTATATCAAGCAAACAAGAAAAGTTACCATTTATGCTTTCGTGGCAATTAACATTTTTTTCTGCTTTTGTGGCAGTTCCTAGGGAACTTAAGAAATCTTAGAGACTCACATGCAGCTCTTGCTGTTGGATCGTCTGAAACAAAAGCTGGTGAGCCCTCTTCTGTTACAAGAATAATTTCAGAGTGCGAGTCTGCATTGACATTCTTAAATCGTGATCTTGGCATTCTGTCAGCTTCTATTGCACGTGAGCAAGGTAACAAAGTGAGTTTATCATGAATGTATCATGAGATAGCTAAAAACATTTTGACATGACCTCTCAACTCTTTCTTGGGAACTTATTTTTAGTGGAATTTTTGTTCTATGTTTAAAGGTTGATTGAACTGAATTTCAAGTACCACTGTTATTTTAGTGAGTGTGCCGTGTTCACTATGTAGGAGTACTTGAATCAAAAGCATATTAGTTTTGGTCTGATTCTTGATTCCCCAAACCTTGAGTATATTATGTGAAATGAATGGTTGGGTAAAGGTTTCTCAGATGAATCAAATATTTTTTTAGATAATGCTTTATGTTTATCCTAAAAAAATTAAGACAAGTGAAACCATCATCAGTTCTTCATCACTTGCACAGAAATACAAAAACCAATGTATCATCTTAAAACCTGACAGTCCCAGATAAAGGAAAACGAAGCTCTTAGTCCTAAAATCAACCAGCATTGAAGATAAATGACCACTGATGATATATGGAATTTGGGTTCCTTCACAAAGTCCACTAAAGCTAGGCCCTCACATTACCGTGGTCACTGGGTTCCTCCCCAAAATCCATCAAACATTCTCCCATTTTGTAACATTGGGGGATGGGCAATAGTTTTCCAAAAAGAACAGTATGCAGTTTAGATTTGAAGCCATGTGGGTGGGGGATAAAAACTGCGAGGAAACAATCAAGAGATCATGGAAGTCACAGAATCGAATTTCTAGTGCTGCAGCAACTGCCCAAGCTATTTCTAGATGTGGGAAGAGTTGAAACAATGGAGACACGAGGAAACACTTGGAAGTCCATTAAAAGCAAGTTCAAACGGAGGCTAAATTGCTGAATAGAAACTAGTAAGGGTCCATTTCAGTTTGGGACCTAAAAGTTCCGAATGAAAGAAGACATAGATAAGCAAATCTCTCAAATTCCCAGTATCTTGAAATTCCTCATTTGAAGAGAAGTAGGCTATTCAAGAATTTCGCATTGCATTTAGGTTGTAATTGTAATAATTGAATAAAGAATTCAGGAGGAACCACTAAGAAAAGAGAGGATATGGCACAAGCATGCAAGAATTCAGGAGTGTTCATTCGATTTTTTAATTTGGTTTCATATTATTTAAATTCAGTTTTTGATTAACCAAATTTTCAAAAACAAAAACCGAAACCGAATCAAAATATTTTTTCGGTTTTGGTTTTTGATCAATTCAGTTTAAACTGATTTGTTTTTTTTTTTTTTTTTTTTTTCAAAATTTAAAGGTTAACCCATTACCCAGATTCTTCAACCTTAACTGTCTTTTTCTTTCTGATATATCCTATTTAAATAAACCTTAATTGTTCTTAAACTTAATTATCCTTCAACCATGTTCAGACCCTAAGCAACTTACACTGTTACACAATGTTGCATCAGCAACAATAACACAAAACGAAGTTTGTCTCATACAGAGAAGCAAAACAAACACAACACAACTTATAGCATTTTACTTCACTTTTGACCATCACATCAAAAAATTAGCATTCAAACTTAGATACAGTGCACAAAGTGGCAGAGCAAATGGAGAGATTTCCCATCTCTTTTGGCAGGTCAGTTTTTGAAACTTGGATTGTTTGCTTTTCCATTACTCCCCAAGGCTTCTCTGTTGGCCCACCGTAAATTTTTTTTTGGCAATCAAAGGTGTTATATTCCAATAATAATGGTAGAGATTAAGAAAACTCTTCAGGAATGTAGATATAAACAAATCTTTTCATGATAGCTTGTAGATGTATATCCATTAATGCATGTGAAAGGAGTTCCTTGAATCTTCAAATCCACATGTTTGTCGCAGTAAAAGCATTTGTTAATTACCAGGACTTTAGACATCAATGCACTACATATCTACCATATACAAGTAATTTACACTATATACCATAAAACAAAGAAATTTAGAACAGCTAGGAATGTCAATGGGACCCAAAGGGGTATGGAGTTCTTGAGATCTCTAAGTTGACATCACAACTTTTTTCACTTCCATTACTCCAATAACCCTTAGTTTCTTTATTGGGATTAACTTCATTTGAATCTCTACTTTTTAGAGAAAATAGCTGCATTATTTGAACCAATCAAGACTTAAGAAGATGGATATGAAGAGATGCAGCCATTAACATACAGTTTGACGCATGAACTTATAGAACATGAAGATATATTGATTTAAATTTACAAAAGATAAGCTTATATCTCTCAGAACATGAGCATGAATGTGTTGTTAGCAGCACATATGGTGGTTGGCGGAATCAATAAATACTCATTAAAAACATTCAATAGGTATTAAAATGAATAAGAGTAAAAAAAATATATATCCGCTAATATGATTTTAAAATATGAGTATATATCCCCTAATATGATTTTAGATTATGAATACTCACTCTTTACACTATTAATACTCACAATTTATTTTGATTTTTTGTTTTAAAAAAATATGTAGGTATCTAATTGCGTAAACTTTAAAAATTAAGAATCAAAATATTTTTTCAAAAACTTTGAAGACTAAAAAACACCTATAAAGGAATGACCAAAATGTAAAATAAATAAATAAATAAAATTTAAGGATAAAAAAACTTTTCTTAAATTTCAAGGACTAAAATGAAATATTTTCAATAAATTATTTTTAGTGGATATTAAATAAATACTAAATGGATGAATAAACTAATGCGGATCTTCTAAAAATTTATATAATGATTTTTTTTATGGATAATAGATAAGGTATTCTTTTTATGAATAAGATAAAAAATTAAATTAATGAATCGGATATTCGTCCGTTGTCATCTTTAGTTAACGAAGTTGCCATTATCAAAATCCTAACAACTAGAGAATGGATCAAACATATGTCCAAAAAAATCTATGAAAAGAGGGAGGGGGAAATCATTTGTAGTTTTAACTCTTGTACAATGACCAATTATATTCTAAATTTTGTTTGAAAAAAATTAGTTAAAAAAAAAACAATTTCCGATTGAATCTTCCATTTATCATACTCAAACATTAACCAATCAACCCGTCATAAAAATATATACAAAACAACAAAAATATTTCCTTATTTTTTATGATTTTAAAGGTGCATATATCAATCAACTTATTACATATGCATATGAAATGTTATTCATCTATTCTTTTTTCAATGCATTTTGTGGATATTGATTTTGATTGAACTTATCTCCTTTAACAATGATTGAATTTATCTCCTTTAACAATAAGTGCTACTGAATATGCACAATTTGACATTATGAAATTTTTCGAAACTACTTTTGAGTTTATAACTTTCAGTATAGTTTTAATATTCTTTGAAATATGTCTATATGAATCTCTACTACAAATGCCAACTTAGTACAGATTTGTGCATACATCAAATTATCAACTACATATGCATTTTCAATGTATTTTGTGAACATTAATTTTGATTGAATTTGTCTAATTTGACAACTGCGCTCCCGAAGATATATAATTTGGAATGCTAAATCTTTTCAAAACTTTTTAGTATAGACTTTTTGAGACAATTCTAATATTTTTTGAAACATATATATAATATTTTTTTATGCCAATGACATAAGAAGCTTCACTCAAATCCTTCACTCAAAGTTTTTATAAAAAATTTTTCTTCCTTGTGAAGCAAACCTAAGTCATCACTTGTAAGAAAAATATCATCTATTTATAGGATAAGAAAAATATACTTGTTCCCATTAAATTTAAGGTTTATAAATTGATCAACAATGTTGTCAATAAAACCATATAAGATAACAACATTATGAAATTTCATACATCACTATGAAGAGGTTTGTTTTATCTCATATATAGATCTCTTTACCTTACAAATCAAATGGCTTAAATATTTAAATGTCATTTTTTAAGTATTATTTTTTGCCAATTAAACTGCTGTTGAGATTTTATATATATATATATATATAGACACTAAAATTAAATGATGTTTTATTATTTCTAAACCCCTGCTATGGCGGATAAAATAGCATTGTTTTATTCTCGACGAGACGTTTGTTTACAAAGAAAACGAGTGAGTTTTTGTAATTTTATAAAATAACATTGTTTTATTCTCGACAAGACGTTTGTTTACAAAGAAAACGAGTGAGTTTTTGGAATTTTTTTTACACTTTAGCCTTTCAAATTCTAATTTTATAAAAAAAGGTTTTTTAACTTTATTTTTTATTGCAACACGGTCATTGTATTTTTTGTATGGTTGGGTTGTGCTTTAAATCTAGGCCCATACGGAAGGGTTTAGTGTGAGCCCCAACCCACCTTCCTTTTATCATATTTTATTTTTTTCATTATTTTTAATTTGCTCAAAATAAAATTTTCCCCACAATGGTTATTTTTTATTTTTTTGAGAAATCAATGTACTCGTTAAAGTGGTTTGATATAATTTAAAGTGATTAGAAATCAATTTGTATCATGTTTTGAAGTCACGATTCAAGAGAGAACAATATATCACATTATGTTAGTTTTCCAATGCTAAATTATAATTATATAGGAAAAACTATATAATAAATATATCAATTTTGAATTTTTTCTCAATCGAGGAAATTAAATTTTATTTTTTTCATTTCATTATATTAACTTTTTCAAAAATACTAATCAATTTTTTTTTGTTCAATTTTCCGTTTAGTGATAATGTGGCGAGTTAATAGAAAAACTAAATAACTATATTGTCTTTTTTTTTCCTCGCAAATTATTATTATTGTTTAAAATAAAAGAAATAAATAATAATAATAATTTGGGAGGATGAAAGAAATAAAAAAAGAGCAATATAGTTATTTAGTCTTATTTATTAACTCGCTATATCATCACTAGATAGAAAATGGATAAAAAACTTTATTGGTATTTTCAAAAAAATTAATATATTGAAACGTAAAAAAATAAAAATTGATATATTTGATTGAGAAAATATTTAAAATTAATATATTTATTAAGTAGTTTTCTCTAATTATATATGTTTGTTTTTGTTGCGCACAAATTGGAATGAATTCCCGACAAATAACATTTAAATGGCAGTACAGAGTCGTCCTATATTTAGCCAAACATTCAATTCCATGGCAGAATTTCTGCACGTTAAGTGGGTGGTTTTGGCTATGGAAAATAGTTAAAATTAGAATATATTATATTCAAAAACAGTAATTTACTATTCTGATACTCGAGCAGTCCAATTATAGTTTGACATAGACCAGAAATACGCATTCAAGTGCTAAACAAATATCGTCGTCTTCTAGTAATGAGTGGTGCATAGAGAAATGCCTAATTATAGAGTTAATGGTAGAAAAAATGCAACTAATTTAGACAACCATCCTTTCCCTCTCTGCAGCTGCTCTCGCATTGTTGGGAGCTAGCTCATCGGCCCTGCTTGCGGCCATATTCCTAAACCATAATTCTAAGCCAAAAACAACACAAGACAAGAAGCAATACCAATGTGGAGATTTGCAACTCTTGCAGTCATTCTCCTTTTCTCCCTTCCTATCCATGCCGATTCTGGCAGGTTATTCAGAGGGGGAGGTTAAATGGACACAGAACTGCTAAATTATCAACGCCTACCGAATTCCTTACTGCTCACAACCAGATCAGGGCAATCCACAATTTAACACCCTTGGCGTGGGACCAAAAGTTAGCTAAATACGCTCGCCGGTGGGCCGCCTCACGCCTTGATGACTGCCAGACATTGCTACACTCTCCCAATAGCCCCTACGGGGAGAACTTGTTCTGGGCTCAGAAGAGTCACTGGAATGCATCTTGGGTAGTCAAGTATTGGGGTGATGAAGTCAAGCATTACGATCCAAAGACAAATGAGTGCGTCAACAACACTGTCTGTGGGCATTATACGCAGATTGTGTGGAATACGACTGAGCGTATAGGCTGCACCCATGTTTTATGCAATAAGAACGAAGGTCATCTATTTGTTTGCTCCTATGATCCTCCGGGGAATATTTACTATCACGGTCCATTTGGTGGCCGTTTTCCCAATTCTATAGTGGATCCTCCATCCTCTAATCATTCAAGCCCAACACAATCCGGAAGTCAATTTGGGACCACCGGCGTGACAGTTGCAAGCAAGGGTATCGCCTCAGGCACCACTGGGCATCCAGCTAATAAGAGCTATGGACATTCCTGACTTAACCCTAACAATATATTACACTGCCATGGAAATGTTGAGAATATGCTTTCTAATAATCTTCACAGGCAAACTGTCGGGTTAACTTGTGAGTTATTATGTGTTTCTCCGTATACCTGATATATACAACATGTATTAAACATAACCCATCGACAGATTTTTCTCTGTTGTTTCTTGTTTCTTGCTTCTTTTCTCTGTTCTGACTTCTGATCCGTAGGCAATGAGAATTAAAAATTTCGTCCTTTGATGGACACTTTTGCTTGATTTGGATACAAATTGAGATTTTACCAGGATTATAGTACTGTTTCTGTCATTTACCTTAGATTCGTAAAAAAAGACCATGACAAAGCCTCTCTTGAGTCTCAATGCAAATGGTCCTGGATTATGGTGAATCCTAGAATGGGCAGGCTGAAATGATCGGATTAATTCTCTTATCACACATGGTTAGTTGGCCTACTTGCACAAGTTGCTCTTTATTAATTTTCTTTATGTAGATTTAGGTGCGTCTCAAGTTGCTCAACTACCTAATGCTTGCTCACTACCGCTTTAGTCATAAACTGATAATTACACGGCCAGATGGTTAAGACTCAAGATAGGGAAGAAAAAAATCTCCCCAGGAAGATTTTTCTTCAATTTGCAGTACAAACGATCATCAACATGCAATTCAACTATGGACAAAAGATTAATGGCGTTTTTACTTCTTGACATTTCAATCACCAACTAATGATTCCAGGTGAAACTGTAGGCTAGTATGTTTATTACAGATTCCTTTCCATTTCAAGTGTTACATTAATGGCGTAGAGCATTTCAAAACAAAATCACAGAAACTTCAATCAGTAGAGAATACCTTGGTTTCTAATTGATAAGCTTTGGTGAAGAAAGCAGGCCAACAAAGATATGTCGACATAATGCTACTAACAGTTGTTGCACCTATGAGCATGTTCATCACCACAATTTGCAATTGAATGGCTTCTAGCGGAGAAGCTCCTCCCATGATAAGCCCAGTCATTGCTCCAGGAAGTGAAATGAGACCCACAGTTTTGGCATTGTCCAGTACAGGAGAAAGCGCAATAACTAGAGCCCTTTTCACTTGTTGAAGTGTGGCTTGACGCGGTGTTGCCCCAAGAGCCAATGCTGTCTCTACCTGCCACAGAAACCACCCAACTCGAATAAGTCATGGCAATTGTTGCCAAATTGCAGATTTGAGAAGCTCTCACATCGCAAACGAATCAAAATGGAGGGACTGATTACACTTAGCAACAAATGACAAATTACAAGTAAGTATTTGTCTTTAACGTACCAGGTTCATTTGGACTTTGATATCGTCGCGGAGTCTTTTCATTGTAACTCCGGTAACTGTCATTGCATTTCCAACCATCATCCCTGCAACGGGAATGATGTAACGTGGAGTGAAGGGAAAAACGTTCAATATAACGAGCAGGAACATTGTCACTGCCGTTCCAGCTAAGATAGAAGCACCAGCCACCAATTTTCCTCTGGGAACACGTTTGGCACGTTGTCCGGCTGTATATCCAGCAACAGAGACCTGCAGGGGATTCAAGAATAGCATCAAGAACCCGGAAATAATATATATATTTCAATAAAAAGACAAGCCTAATTGAAGTCTTGTAGAAAAGGATCAGTTGCCAAATTCCTGTAATTCTAGAAGAGGAAGAAAAAAATCACACACTTCAGGCGGATTGTAGGAATTTTCCTGAAAAAGCCATTACAGATCAAGATTTTCTTGACACATACAAGTTGCAAAATACAAGCAGCCAAGTTTATCGGTGGTAGAGTTAAAAATTAAGATTAAAAAGAGTAACTGAAAAACACTGAAGAAAATTGGAAAACTAAGAACCAGTGCTTTGCTACTGAATTTTTTTTTGTCAAACCCGAAAGAAAAGTCAGCACTCAGACAACTCTAGGTATGGCCAATCCATGATTGTTAGTTGAGAGAAAAATCGAGGCTAACATTCATAGTTCAGAAATTCCATGTTTTTGCCTGCAATAGAAACAAAATTGAATTTAATTTCCTCTCTCTTTTCTCTGTGTTCTTCCATATGGGGCGCAGGCTGAGCTAACATTACATAAGAAAGCAAAACAAATCTGAGACATACACCTGATCAATGAATACAGAAAAAATCAGAAATTCAAATTGAATTAAGCTCTGTTCATAAATGAGAAAAAGAGCCACAGAGAATAGATAAAACTTTAATGCTTAGATCATCTATTAATATGATCTCAAAATAAAATAAAAACTCAGAAGTAAACTCTAGGAACTCATACAACCCTTCGGATATTTCCTTCTTTACTGCCTTGAATTGAATCTTCTTACCAAGCTAACATATACAGAATTTCCAAGTGAAAAACGTTAATCTAGAACAGAAACAACAAGGAAAATAAATTAATACGAACCATGAAAAGGTAAGCAAGGATGATCCATACGGCATGGTCCTGACTGAAAATGAACTGCAAAACAAAGCCAATAACAGAGAGCTGAAGAAAGGCTCTAACGATCGCATACACCATCTCTCCCTCCAAACCAAGCTTTTGCATATAGGAAAGAATCACGGCCATGAGCACCACTGCTGTAGCAGCCAGTGGCTTTATCATACCCTTTAAAAACTGGAATAACCACTCAAAATCATGATCACCAATACCAGAATTCAGCAATTCAGCAAACTCGAAATCCATTCCAATCTTAACTTTCATCACTCGAAACTACAAAAATAATGTAACTAGTTCATTAACTAACTAGTCGTTGCCTGTTCGAGACTTTAAAGAGAGTCCTATACAGTTATACAAAAAAGAAAAAAAGTAAGGTTCTTTTGCTGTGGTGGCGGAAACGACCTTCCCCGAATAATAAAAAAGAGGTATCTCGTGGAGTTCCTATTTGAGGAATATATGTGGATTATCGAATTACCTACTTTCTGATGTGGGCACATTCTGATGTTGTGCTTTTCTGAGTACGGTAGAGGTACAATATTCCGTCCAAATATTTTATTTTATTTTTTAACCCTTTTATATTCTTTATTGAGGGAGCCCTAAGTCACCATTCCGTAATGATTTAATAATTAACTTGTGATTTGACTATTTTGAACAGTAATGCTATTATTTTGTTCAAATAATAGTGAAGCCTTTGTTTGTATTTTTACTATTCAAAAACACTTGCTCTGTAATTTTTGTTTTTAATCACGAACTGTGTTTAAAAGAAATATCAATCCATATTGGATTTTTTTTTTTTTTTTTTGTAATAATTCGTATTCAAACTTGGATAATAAATGAATACTAGATGATATAGGAGAAATTTTATAATACACCAAGAGTAACTAGTGACATGTACAGTAGTTATTTCATAAGCTTCATTTTGAGGAAAGAGATAGACACAAGAAAAGAAAGAGAGAAAATAAAAATCTTTTTATCATTTTTTATGGGTATGGATGTAATTTCTCTCTTTTTTGTGTCTATCTCTTTTTTCAAAGTAGTATCCATATAAGAATTCATCGTATATGTCACTAGCTACTCTTAGGGCATTATAAAATTTCTCGATGATCTAATTTAACGTTCTTTATAGATATCATGACTTTTTTTATTTATTTAATGAAACAACATTGGAATCTTAATGAATATAATTTATCCGTTATAATTATGTAATGGATGAAATTATTGATCATTAAGTAACATAAATCTGCTCAACTTTTTTAATAAATCATACAAATCATATCATGAAAAATGAATTATATATATAATCATAGCACATGGAATTTTTGGTAAAAAAATTTAGCATTCCTTTTAAGGAGGATCCACGCTATTCTTTAGTGGGAGAATTTTGTTTTTGCTTAATTAATAATTGACCTTTTTCTACCATCATAGTATTACTAATATCTTCTCTTTTCTTTTTATTTGGTTTTTTTAGTGGACTTTGGTTAATTGTTTACTACTTATTTTTTTTATTATTATTTCACAATAATTGTTTTCTGATTACTAGGACAACTGTGACCTTTTCTTATGCATTAACCGATGTTAGCAGCCGTGATTCCCCGCGCGAAAGTAACGGAGCGTACGGACCATTTGATAAAAACCCGCAAAAAAAGGTTCGGTGTTGTACGCGCGAGCGTGAGGTAGTTGAAATCCAGTACCGATGGTTAATGTTGATGGAGTGGTGAGTCATGAAAACGGGACAACGGCTATAATAAAAGGACATTTGTCCTTTCTGTCATATTTTCATACTTCAATGGACGCCCCGTGGCTAAATCCTCTACGGAGCCAGGCTCATGCCAAATTGCGACCAAATTATAAATTAATCTCTCTAATTAGTTTTATTTATTTCAAAAATTAATTTTTTAATTTTATGTTATTTTTAAATTTATTTTAAAAATAGAAAAAATAGATATTATAAAAATATTGATGAGAAAAAAATTATTTTTTAAAATAATATGATATTAAATTAAATATTGTTTGATAAAAAAAAATTAAATAATTAACTTTTGAAATAGAAAAAACCAATTAAATATTGTTTGATAAGGGCAGAATCCTTGCATATGCCTGATGCATTTAGATGAATCTAGAATATTAGTAAAACCTATATATATTTTTTGATTCCACAATCATGAGAAGAGGCGTACTCATATCGGTTTGCCAGTCAACTCAAATTCATGTTCTCTTTCCAAACATTTTAAGGGCACATTCTCTATATCAATATGATGGATTGAAAGAAACAAAATTTTCTAAATGCTGACTCCAAGAAGAAGTCGAGAAATACACCTACCTTTTTAACTACTAAACTAACCTCCTAGAATCAGAAAAAATATATATATTTAATGAATATAAAAGACAAAGAACGAATATTATGGTAACTTAAGAAGGCTAAAACCTGCCTACCCTCCATAAACTATTGGTAAAAATGTCACTAGTCTCGCAAGAAAAAAAATTATTTATTTTGATTTAATCCAATCTGATGATGGACGAGTTTTTTGGCATCTGAATTTTATTATACCTGATTTTAACCTCTTTAGGAGTAAAAAATAGTGGTATTGTTCTCAAAGTTCTGCACACATCAAACTCAAACACATGATGTTAGTAGTGTCGAGAATGCCTAACAAAATCACTCTTATGGTTAAGTTAATATTTGGTATATTTATGCAGGCAAAGTATGTCAATAGCCGTAGATGAAGTTTTTGGAGTTGTGTTTTGGAAAGGAGAGTCCCTTTATATAGTAGGAAATGTAAGGCTATAGCTCATCGCTTTGGTGTAATAGGCAAGTAGCCTTAAGACCATAAAAAGAACAGCTTGTTGTTATTTGTTAAGCCAAACTTCTTCCGTGTATAAACAAAGTTCTGTCAGAGATGATATTAGCTAATATGATCTATTAAATAACAGTTCTCTCTGCTTTTATCATTATCTTCCTATTGTATTTTATCTATTGTGTAATACTCTCAACTTAGGACGTAGTAGATCAAGAATATTATCATCATCGACTTGCATTCGAGATACAATGAATGCAAGCCAACAAGACATTGTGTCTTTTTTAAAAGTATACTAGGTATGGTTTTAGCTACGAAGCTTAACAATGACAAACATGTCCTAAATTTTACTTCAAAATGCATTATAAATTTTTTGTGTTTTAGTATTTTATTTATATTGTTTGAACTAAATGGACTAGATCTATGACGCTTGGTTTCCTCTAATTCCTTTTCTAATGGTCGGTATAATTAATTGCCATTTATCATTCTTATTTTCCTTATTATTTTAGTGATCGTATTTTATTATTGACATAGGTAAGTAAATAAACGATTAAAGGAAGATAATACTACTCAATACTATATTATCCCATTTTTTACTAACATGTCCTAGTTCGACTACCATACAAACTACCTTATAATTTACATGTACCGGTTCTATGCCACATATTACAACAATGGCTTATTTTTTATTTACATGTATTTCTTTTCTAGCTAGCTACTCATTTCTTCATGGCCTTGACTATCATATAAAAGAATGAAGCCATACCCAAAAAATAAACCAAAATATCGAGCACTAATATAACTATAGTCCGAAAGAGATCCACCCTATAGCCACACATAAAATACACGCAACGCATTGATCCCTTGGTAGTCGGCTCAAATGTGAAGATTGCCATCTTTACCTTTAGTGCCTACACTATAGGAACTTGGTGAGCGATTGCTTAATAAGTTAATCCATGCATGACATGCGAATAAATGAAATGCATATGATAAAGTATTTGTATGTTCTTTGAAAATCCTTTTAATGTGTCATAAAATCCTCATCATGATCATTCTAAAAAATCTTTTCTGCCTTTGGACATGTCCCATCTTTTGACTTCGGGATTTCCATGATATGTCCGAAAAACTGCACTCGGTCTGCAGACGCTTTTGTTGAGTCTTTGAAAGTGCACATCCGCACCCATTCGACCCCGAAACCTTTAACCATGAAAGTCATGGAAAACCCATTAAACCCCTTTCCATAAAACCATGGAAATCATGAAAACTTTGTAACCATGAAATATTTTCAATTGCTATTGGAAACTCTTTGAAAGAAAATCCTCTTTTTCATGACTTCAAACCCTTTTTATAAACTTGGCATGAATATGCATTTCAATATAATGCATAATTATCATGAATTCATGTAGTGCATGCCATGGATATTATGCATTTATGCCATAATAATGCACACCTCAATACCATGAATGCATCATAATAATCGTAACTTGCAATGCCATTTCAAATCACTTCAAACCATGAAACAATTACCTTGAACATCACATAGTCACAATGGCAACATTATTCAACGCAAGGCAATACACATTCAATCATTCAATTCACATCTTCCATAAGATAAAGATCACATGATTCTCATTCAACGGTAACATGTAAACCAAATCACAATCATAACACATAAAACAAGCCATAAACCTAATTTTGTTCTCAAAGTGGCCGAATGTTCATTAACCTAATTTAGGTAGGTTTTTCAATTGCAATGCTAATTTCTTGTGCTAATTCATTTAAATACACTATAATATCATGAATTTAACCAATTAGACCTTCATCAACTAATTGCATTCAAAATCTTAGTTTTGGGCCTAATGGGTCGAAACTTTACCTAGGACGAACCAAGATAATTTTTCAACTATAATGAAATCTTCCATACTAATTCATCTTTTTATACTATACTAACTTAGAATTAGTCAATTAAATCATTAAGAATCAAGAACATGAAAACCCTAATTTTCTCCTAAATTGGGTGAACATGGGCTTTGAGTAACTAGGGGAATGTTCAATTTTTATGTAATTTCTCATACTCAATCATTAATTCATACTTAAATAACACATATTCAAGTAACAATTCATCAAACAAACCAAAGGAACAAAAACCCTAAAATTGACATTTTGGATCGAATGCTCCTCAAGGAATTAAGCTAAGAAATTCTTGTTTCTAACACCTATTTCATGCTCAATTGACATATTCTAACTTCAATTTCATAAATTTTCAAGTCAAAATCATTTTTCCTAAATTTTTCTCACCAAGAACCCTAATTTCTAAAAAGAACATTTTGTCAATAGGTAAAGATCAATGCCTAAAACTCTTGGTGTGTGTGCTAAACGAGCAAAGATGGATGTTTGAAGCTTTAGGTATGTGTGCCAAACAAGCAAAGATGGATACTTGAAGCTCATTTTTGTCATTATGTAATCAAAGAACTACTCTTGACTTGTACATTTATGACCATGTGAACATGGGTTTGTTTTATCCTAGTGTCGGACATTATATTTGATTAAATGACCATTGAAAAGTCGACTTGTGTGGGCTACACTAGTAGGTGTAGTCTTTTGATTTTATGCTAGTTAGGCTCTTCTTTTCCTTATTTACCTTTTAAGCTTTAGGAACCAAATCAAATTTTATTTTTCTTGTTCGCATGATAAATTTAATAAGTTGCACATTTGCCTAACTCAATCACCATTAGCATAAATAAGAGTTTAATGATTAGAGATCATGACTTGAATGAAATTAGAGATTGATTTGGATGTTTGGTATAAATTCGGGGACTATTCATCATTTTTTTCCTTTGAACTCCAATTTGAATTCATCTATGTTTCTACATGTCTTTTTTGTTGTTATAAGTTTTCTTGTTTTTTTTTAGAGCGTGGGTGACAATTAAAGTGGGATCTAGTATAAAAATGGTTGTTAATGCTAGTTGGAGGGGGAGGAGTAAGAGACCTACATGGTGGCATACGGGCCGCAACTAGTGGCACGTGGGATTATGTTTCGAGACTCGTTGAGGTAAGATTTTTGGCTTGATCGAAAGTAGGCTATTCTCTTCTCTCTTTTTTACCGTCAATGTACTCTATTGCCACTCGTAAAGGGAGACCGATGTGATGAAAGTATCCGACATCTTTCTTCTTCTCCTTCTTCTTCTTCTCTAGCAATAAATGTTGCTAATAGTGTTATTAGTGTAGTTGTTGCTGCTCGTTGTCATTGGCTACTTTCATTGCTGTCACAATTAAATAGATTGAAGACGTGGTTGTTGGCATTTGGTTTAAACTACTTCCAAATGAAGACTTGGGTGAGGCATGTACCATACAAACCAGATTTGGTATTTCTTATCGAGGAGAACACCATTATCGGTAGATTACAAGCTGAGAAAGTCATTTTCACAAATGATGTCACTAACAATGCACATGATTTTAGACATTTACATTTTTTATACCGATATTTAGCTTTTTTGAGAGGATAGAAAAATGGTGAGATGTCCTCCCAAGTCTTGCACACATTAAGGTCAAAGATCAAATGTTAATGGCACTAGAGGATGCCAATGAAACCACTTTGATGGTTAAATCGGTATTTGACATACTATGTAAGAAATGTGTAGAATATGGGAAAAAAAAAAAAAAGATATTGCCACAATGGAAATGGAGAGCTCTCTTTATGTATGTAAGTATAGATAGAGTTCTTGGAGTTGTTTTTAATGAAGGAAAGACTCTTTTTATATAGTAGAAAATGTTAGCATATAGTCCATACCTTTAGTGTATTGGGTTAAATAGGAAGAAAAATCCATAATTATGAGGGGGTCGAGCTTTATAAGTTTTGAAGAAGAGGTCAAATTTCATATTTTAGCACAACTGTTAGTTTTTATTAGGTTTCATCCATGAGAAAATAAATGTTAAACATGGTGACTTTTTACAAAAATTAAAAAAAAAGTAAAATTATAATTATTTTATTTAATAAAAATAAACAAAAAAAATTGCTAGAAATTTTGAGAAATCAAATACCAGTATAAAAAAAAAAGATTATAAGAAGAAAAAAAAAACTAGCAAGAAAACAACCCAAACTCATAATTCAGCCAACAAAATATGTAAAAAATAATTAAAAAAAAGTAAAAGTATAATTATTTTTTGATAGAAAAATAAACAAAAATTGTTAGAAATTTTGAGAAATCAAATGCCCATGTGAAAAAAGAAGGAGATTGTATGAAAAAAAAAACCCAATCTCATAATCCAATCAACATAATATCTAAAAAGAATATTTAATTGGTCAAAAGCACATGTATAGCTCTTAAGTTTTGTATTATTATTATTATTTTAAGAAAAGCTGCAATTTCAATTTTCAACTTTGATGTTTTTTTTTCAATATTCAATCGATAAATTTTTCTATTTCCCAAGCTTTGATGGGTTGTTTGAGTGCCTATTGTTATCTAAGCATATAAAATGCTAACATATCTAGGAGGAACTATCACATGGTATTTTTTTTAACTATCATGTATGATGAGAAAACTACATTTTTAGTGCCTAATCTTTGATTTTTTTTTCTATTTTAGTGTCCAACCTTTAAATTCTTCTATTTCAATGCTTAATCTTTATTATTTTAATGCCCATAGTCATATGAGAGTATGAAATGTTGAGGTATTCGAAATGAATTGCCACTTGAAATTTTTTAACTAACAAGTCAAAAAATGGAGTGTTTAAAAAAATAATTAAATTAAATAACTTTAGGTAATTGAAAAAAATTAAAAATATTAAAGTGGAGATGGCAAGAATGCTCTTGCCCAAACTTTTCGATTCGATAGTAAAATGTTGTTCCTACATCTCTTCCCACTCATGTTGAACAAGTCTTGATATTGACTTCGCATCTCTAGCCAACTCAATGTCCTCTCAAGAGCTCACATTCACCACTACTTTCCAACCAACTATTGAGATTCCCTCAATTCCAATTACAAAAAAGCCATCATGTCGTGAACTTTGAGTCTATCTTGCCAATATAGAAAAATTGATAAAGCTAAGTCTAAAGACTTTTTTTTTTTTTTTATGCTTGCATCAAGCTCTATTTCTCATGCTTATTGCTTTTGTCCAATAGTGTTAATTTTGAGGAGGAGTACAATTATTTTATGGATTTAATAAAAAGGCTCTTAAGAAATTTTCAATACAAGTGGACATATCAATTGATCGCTCGTTACTTTTGTGTAGTTTAAGAACTTATGGAACTATCTTTCTTTTTTTTTTTCAATTCTTGACAACTAGAAATCATTCAATTTTACCTTCAAAGTTTTGAGACTTTGGTGGCAAGCCACCTAGTTTATAAGCAAAAAATTAACAAAATAAAGTAATTAAGTCCTGTAATGAAGATGACAAAAAGAGAATTGTTGAGTTGAAGATCTCTTATAAAGAACTTACCGAGTAAGAGCAACATCTTTAGTGCGGACAAGGAAGTTTTAAGTAAAAGATTTAGGAAATGAAAGAAGAAGAAGAAGATTTGCATTTGAGCAAACATGGAAGGACTCTATACCTAGATCCTTAGGTAAAAGGAAAATTAGAACCACACATGAAAGTTCTTATAGAAGTTATGAGGCAAGAAAAAGAGAGAGAGGATAAAGCTAGCAATATTGATTATTATTGGGCTAAGTTTAGGAGCTTATTTGTTTAAACTTATTAGGCTTTCTTTTTATTTAAAATTATAACACACATGAAAGTTCTTACGAAGTTCGTGAGCCAAGAAAAACGAGATAGAGGATAAAGCTTACAATATTGATTATTATTGGGCTAAGTTTAGGAGCTTATTTGTTTAAACTTATTAGGCTTTCTTTTTATTTAAAAGTATATTCGACTATCAACTATTAACAATTAGAAAATATTTTCGTACTACGCATGTTTTCTCGTATTGTCATGAATAGTGATTCAACAACCTCGTGTATGTGTGAAAAGTTTGGGTGGAAGTTTTTCCACCAACCCCACTTTAATGTTTTCAATTTTTTTTTCAATCATTTAAAGTTGTTTAGTTTAATTATATATTTTTTCTTTTTTATATACTTCATTTTCCACATGCCGATTAAAAATATCACATGACAATTCATTCCAAAGATTTTGATATTTCATATTGTCAAGTAATTGTGAGCACTCAAACGAAAGAAAAAAAAAATCAAAGATTGGACATTGAAATAAAAGAATTTAAAGGTTGGGCATTGAAAAAAAAAGGAGAGGAGAAATTCAAAGGTTGGACACCAAAAATACAATCTTCCCATCGTAAATGCTAGTTAAAAAATGTCACGTGACAAGTCATTTCGAATACGTCAATTTTATATCTTTAAGTGATTATGAACACTCAAACAGCAATATATATATATATATAATCGAAGTTTGAGAACTAAAATAAAAGAATTTACCTATTTGACATTTGAAAAAAATTATAAAAAAAAAAATTGTACATCAAAATTGTAGTTTTCTCTTAAAAAAAATTGGGAGCAGGTTGGGGCGGAAAAAACATGATTCGTCCCACCTACTACCATTTCTAATAAATAACATATCTACATTTTAGATGTATATTTGAAATTATTTTTATGAATATTTCCAAAATTAGTTATTCTAATCTTTGTAGATTTTTTTAATAAAATACAACCTAAAATCAACTTTCTTTTGTTTTCAATTCTTATTGCTTATATAAAACGTTTGGTTCGCAACGACATAAATATAGCCTAATGAACAAGTGCAACTTTCCCACCACCTATCATATATTCAATAAAAAAATTAGGATCTGCTAAGTTTTTATCCACAAAAAACACTCTGCAAAATATTTATTTTATTTATCAATATATTTTGACAAAATATGTCAGAGGAAATGTATATTTTTATCTATTAATTTGAAGGGCAAGATTGTTGTTCATGGCAATTCAGAAAGCAACGAACATCCTGGAAGGCAATTCTCGGTCACCTATGTGTGCACTTTGGGCATGATCAGTGGAGGTGCGACTTTCCTTCAGTAGAAAGAGATTGGTCTTCTGAAAAACTTGTTCAAGATGATCAGAAATGATGAGCCAAAATGATGGTGGCACTGCAAGTTCCTCCAAAAGGAAAAAAGTATAGATCAAACTGCAGAATCAAGAGATTTTGGAAGTTTTAGCTCTTGTCCTCCCTAAAAGTAATGATGATGGGTTTGATCTCAACATGCAGCCAAAACATGGGGGATTGTCAGAATGAGGAGATGTTTGGGCTCTTTACAGAGAATCAGTCTTTTGATCAGAATGAGCCTAGATGAAATATATAATAGAAAATAAATGGTGAACCATGCCTGAAGATTATAAAAAGGAGAGAAGGGTGAATTTTACTCTGTTGTATTTTAAGACATTGCTTTACCAATAATTGCCCCCACGAATTGCATATTTGCATTTGATTTGTATATTTCTCACATATTACATGTTTAATACCTAAATTTGTAATTACCATTAACCACTCCGAAGTTGGAGGAAAAATATACTGTAATTCATTCTTTGGTTAAATTTATTATACAGTAGAAAATGCAGTTGTCAAAATTATTATTATTATTTGTTATAAAAAAATAGGCTCGAACTTGGGACCTTTTGAAGTAAAAATAATATATATATATAAACATTAATATTAATTGATCCATAACTTTTTGACAAATTATTTGTTATATGTCATATAATATCTTCTTTCCATCTTTCAGTTTAATAAATAAATAAATAAATAAAATTTATAATTTTCACCAAATTAAAAAAAAAAGTCATAATTCTATCTGAATACCAATTTTATCCTATTTTTATTATTAAGAAAATAATGGTTTTGAAAACTTGCAACAATTGACATTATTTATTGAGGTATATGCAAATGCAAGTTGTGACAAAAATATCCTACAAAAATATGCTACATTGATTGAAAACAAGAAAAATGAGTGCTTATGAATAAGAATGAATACACATCACAATGGCAATTGTGAAGGGCTTTAATGGCATCTACAAATGCAATGAAAACTTTTCCAGCATTTGCAAAAATGCCTTTACGTCCGATGTCTTTATGGATTATTGTACTATTAAACATATAAAATGAGAAATTTTATAATACTCAATAAGTAAATTATGATAGCTAATAAATTATTTTAAAATTTATAAACCTCAGTTGCTATGTTATTAAAAATTTTGACTTACGTGAATTTAAAAACATGACATTATAAGCTGACCTGGACTAGTTTTTTTTTAAAAAAAATGCAAGAATGAGTTTTAGCAATGGTTGTAAAAAAGTGAATGCCAGCCCTTCTCCTTTGTAAAAATCGAAAAGCAATTTGAAGAAAAGAGAGCCAATCTCTTACAAAAATTGAAGAACAAATATTTGATATGAATATCTAAATCGTTTTTTTATAGTAATTCATGTCATGTATATTTTCTTTCTTGATGGAACTATAATAATTCAACATTATCGTCCAATAATCAAGAGAAAAACATTGCAATGCATGTGACCTTTAACTTTACTGAAAAAAAAATCTATAAATTATTGCTAAATGTTTCATGAACAGTCATACTATCAAGAGGGAATCTTTTAAATGTTTTATAATAATAAATGAAGTGGAAGAAGGATCAATGGGATTCTAATGCGGTGCTTGTACGTAGTATACAAACTCTTCTCTCCAGGAATTTAAAAAGTTAAAGTAATTAATCTCTCTCTTTTTTTTTTTTTTTGGTTGAGAATTTTAATTAATTTTACATTTGTTGTCAATTCAATCCTTATGATGATAGGACGACTCTAAACTATAGACTATATAGACTAAAGGCATCATACATGCCTTAAAAAAGAAAAAGGAAAATTGATGTCTGCAGTCCTCGATCGGATGGTTATTAGTTACACTTTCATTATTCAGCTTTTTCCTCAGCAAGTGTTGCTATTTTGTTATTTTTGTTATTATAACTGCATTTGTAATCAAAATAACAAATGACTGCTATTAATTTCTCTAGAAAAAAAAAAAAAAGGATTTTGATCCGCATTAAGTAGTATTTTGGAAGGAAAAAAAACACTCAGCTATTTTCAAACATAATTCATAGTATATAATAATAGAAAAAATCTTTTAATAAATTATTATTTGTTTCACCAATAAACAAAAAGAACAAGCTAAATATGCGTTTGTATTAGTTTAGTTGGAAAACAACAAATTTCACCAAAAACCCAACTCCAAATGCTATCCTTTTCATAATTCCGTTAATTTTCTCAGATTTCTTAAGGATTTTTCTCAATTTTTATTAGCAACCAAACAAACAGTTAAATTATTTCGTTGGCATATATAGAAAATGGAGTCACTGGGATCCAAGTTCAATGCCAAGACCTTCAAGCTGCAACCTACAAACCCAATATATATGCACCGTCGTCAAACCCAACATAGTGTCACGACAGCATCGCGCCACCGTTCCACCACTGCACCGGACACTCATACATCAACACCAAATGTTCTATAAGTAAATTAAGAGAGTATGTGAGAAAAAAAATCTGGAAAATATGATTTTGGAGTGAGATTTTAGTTTGAGAATGATTACTGTAGAGGGCTTTGATGGATGACCCGTAAATAAATAAATAAATAAATAAATTTTTTTGAGAATTAGTAAATTTTATCGTAAATTTGGGCTGTTTGTTTTTTCTCATCCACCTGCCGGATAATGGAGTTCGTTTGCTCTGCACTTGTTACTGCTAGGGTCAGATAAAAAAAGTACTTGAAAAAAAAAAAAAGAATAACTGTTTTAAGGATATTATAGTCAATTCGAAAATACTTGACTAGGTGGGAGTGCGAATATCACCTCCCCGAAACTGGATAATCACTAGCGTCTTTAACGGTAGCAACAATCACAGGCAGACACCAGGCAGGGTGGAACTGGTCGTGCTCTATCTTAATCTTACCTTGAAAAACACAGGACACATCCTTAGGAACTACCGTAGGATCGAGGATAGAAACGTGGTGTTTCATGCAAAAGATTCTAGGAGACGTTGAGGTTTTGTCTGCATCTCTCTCCCCTATTAAAAAATTAACTTTGGCACATGATCATAATTGAGATGAATTTGAGTCCTTCGGGTATGGGTGGTGGTTTTATATAAGGAGGAGCTATCCAGTGGATGCTTACCAGGTTACCCGCCCATTTTAGGGCCTTTTTTTTTTTTTTGGTACGTTGTGCAAACAAGATTCCCAAAAGATATAAATTATTTCAGGAAACGAATATATCTGCTGATAAGCCCAAAGCCAAAAGACGCACTCCCACACAAGTTAACTGCGTTATTAATATGGATCCTTATGATGAATGAAAAAAAATTCTCAATTACATGTGAGATGTGACAATTAAAAGCGTTAAAGGGTAAAGATGTTTCTTGAAGTCTTGAACATTGAGTTAATTACATTTTTAGTATACAAAGTTGTTAATTTTTTTTTATTTGAATTTGTCAACTTTATTACTTGTTATTTGAGCAAACTAAATTATACTCCAAATTGTGATTTCATTAACTTTTGTCAACTTTATATTTATATAGCCATTAACTGCATACATGATTTCAAATTATGAGCCTCACTGCCAAACAAGTGGTAATTAAAAAACAAAATTATTACTTATTTGATGTATGAAATTGTCATATTTTTATATTTGAATGTGTAATTTTTAATTTTGTTATTTGAGTGTGTATCAATTTGTATTTTTTATTTATTTGAGTGACCCTATTAACTTTAAATTAATGTTTTCGTTAACTACATAAGTCGCACTGTCATGTAGATTTTATTATCAAACATGTGGCAGCTACAAACTTCATGTGTCGAATTAAAATTAAAAATTCAAAAAAAATTATTTAACAAATGCTTCTATCTAAAAAAACAAAAACCACTACAAAAATAAATATATAAAATTAAACTTTTCTGATCAATTCATTTTACCCAACCCAAAGTCAAACCACTCTCAACTCCAAATTAAAATCCAAATTTACCTAATCAATATTCAAAATTTTACCTCCTCATCTTCCAAAAAGAACACCAAACCTTCTTGCCACAACTCGTAATTTACAATCATATCCAAAAGCTATGCACCATCAACAACAATTACCACAACTCTACTAACGTCATTAACTTCAAAACCACCCGCTGTCATATATTATAATTGACAACTACTATTGAATCATTATTTTTTTCTTTTGTGAGAAATATTCATTAATTCTGCGTTAGACATAAGCTTTTAAATATGAAGTGAGGATATCATTGATACTCCAAGATGATTGTCCCATCATTTTTGAGGATGATGGTTTCTTATACGCATGAAGAAAAAGAGATATCAACCGAAGGGGCTTGGCACAGGACGTTAGGTCACGAGAAGTACAAGAGAGCAAAAAAGCAGTCGCATGAAACCAGATAAGACACCTTAGGATATTACAGGTCACGTAATTATGTAGCTTTGCTTCTTCCATTTATTTTATAAATTCGAATCTCTAACTCAGCAATCAACATAATTTATTTCCTTAAATAAATTCGATTGATGAGAGGGAGACATCCGTTCTTAAAATTATATAATAAAAAATAATTGAATTATTTTTTAAAAAGGAAATCAAGATGAATAGACAAACTACAGTTGTTGATGATGAAGGATAACATAAAAGAAAAAGGAAAAAAGAGAAGAAAATAATGAAGCTTGTAGTTTCCAACAAACTACTAATACTCTAACGGCTCTCTATTTCCAACCATCATTGTGAATGAGTTCTACCTGTTTTAGAGTTCTTTCCATCAACCCATTTGATTTTGAAATATAAATTAGCCATATCTATATAATACAAAGAATCCAATATTTAATTTGATACCCGGATAAAATGTAAAGATGAAAATTTTTATTGTCGGATTTGGTTTTTAGAGTTTATTTTTTCTACCGAAAACGAGAATGAATAATTGTTTTGGTGAATGAATCCAACCAAGATTTTTTATTTTCATTTTTAATCTTTTCTTTATATCTCGTTATTTTTAGGTAATTTGTTTCTTTTTTTTTTTATGTAAAATCATAAATATCTTATTCTTATTATATGATTTATTTGTTTTTTTGGTTGCTATTTGAGAATGAGAATAGATGCTTATTTTATTATTTTAGTTATCATGTGTCTAATAATAAACTCATATGACGGTGCCACGTGTTCGGTTAACCAACAAATTAGCCTATAGTAAATAAAATCATTCAAATGTAAAAAAATATAAATTGATATATTCAAATAAAAAAATTGATAAATTTGTATACTAAATGTGCAAATTTTTTTTCCTATCTACTATGTGTCTAATAGTGGAGCCCATGATTTAATACCACATGTACAATTAAGGATCACATCAATGTAAAATTAAAATAACAACTCAAATATATGCACTAAAAATGTAATTAACTTTACACGTTTACTTGTTTATATTTTAGCTATCTGGCTCTTTCTTTCCTGTTGCCACTTGACAACGTGGTGACCAGGGGTCATTCATTTAATTAATTAATTTGTTGAAAGTTTGGATGCAATTAGAATGAATTATATGGGGATGTTCGGATCTAGGATTCTGGGTTGTTTTATCTAGTGTTTATGGCGGCGAAACTTCATGGCCAATGTAACTGTTTTTGGTTTTTTGGTGATCAAGAATTTTAGTAACAAGAAAATTATTGGGCCAGCCTCATATTAGTCCCCAACGTACTCTGCATTTCTCAATTTGATCCCTAGCCTACATTTTTATCAATTGGATCCCCAATATATACCAAAATCCTCAATCAAGTCTTTCTATCTAATATCATTGCAAATTTTGTTATATAAAACTTTAAGTTCTATTCAGAAGACTTCATTTTATTGCATAAAATAGGTACTTTAGATGGAAAAGGTTAACAAATTTGGATGGAAGAACCTAATTGATGATTGGTACATAGATTGGGGATCCAATTGAAACTTGTATGGGTTGAAACTAATATGAAGTTGCCCAAAATTATTCATTGATCTATGCTAGATAGGCCACAACGTTAGCATACTTCCTCTTGAATTTCCAAAGGAATATTTTGTTTTTTATTCAAATATATGGATTAATATCGAAATAATGTGAAAATTCCAAGATTGATATTCAGACATTTTAAAACTTCGAGGGTTGAAATGGAATATCCTTTAAACTTTTTTAAATCTATTTACAATTTTGTTTTTGTTTTTTGAGGTTTCAGATCTATTTACAATTTTTTTTCCCCATTACAATGTCTTGGTTAACCACCATACACACACTCTTCCTTGAAAAAGGGCAAAAAAGGAAACGAATTATATTAAACTAATAAAATAGTTCCATTGACCATTGACTTTGCTAAAGCCCAGGTTTCATTGCTGAACCTGACCCATTTGACAATATATTTTGGACTGAACATATATCCTTGACCCAAAAACTACTCTCCACTTGATCAAGAAAAATTCTGTACTTTCCATTAGGCAATATATTTAATTATTTTGGACTCAACACTTTCCCTCGGCCCAAAACAGTACCCTCCACTTCCCCCTCTAGTGGTTACGATACCGCTTGATCACTACTAATCCAATTTCTAGACTGCTACACTGCAAGCAAGCATTAGCACAGCCAGCAACAGCCAGAAGCAAGATCCCCCCAAACAAAAAAATGAGCTTCCTTCTAAGAAAAACAATCAAATCAAACTCCACTCTCCAATCTTTCAGGCCAAACAACACCCTCCCTTTATTCCTTCACCAAGACACAAAACACTTCTCCACCGAAACCCAACCGCCACCACAAGAGAATAACGATACATCCTCAATCGATCCGTTTCTTCAAAGCTCAAACACTAGTAAGAAGAAGAGAGAAAAACAGATGAATAGACTTTCACTTTTTTTTTTTGGGCAAAGTTAGGGTTTAGGGTTTATTGTTGTTAAATTAAGTTGTTTGTTTCTTGTGTTTTAGGTTTGGCGTATGCAAGATTTTATGGTGTAAGGAAGCATACAATGAAGACTGACATTATTAATTTATTCGAAGGCTCTAATTTGACACATGATAATATCAGATTCATTCACAACCGCTCCTACATTCCCTTCGCCGCGTAAAGAAAAACTTCTTCAGTCTCACCCTCGTTTTACGCTACATTTCGAGATTTTTTTTTTAATTAATTTCTGTTTGGATTCGTTTTGGTTTTGTTAGAGCGATACAATTTTCTTCTAGAGGAGCATATGATAATGCTCAGAAGGCACTTACGAGGGCAGGCCGACTATACAGAATGGAGAAGGTAATTGTGAAATTATTTGGTTTTCTTTGATTGATGGTATTGTGATATTGTATTTGGAAAATTTTTAAATGTGGTGGTGATAACTGTCTTTGGTTGCATTGCAGACCGAACCTCATGTGTGGGATGCTGCACTTCGAAATTGTTATGATGGAAAAACTGTAATTCGAAATTCCCTTTTTTATCTTCTTTTTTCTATACTTCTTGTGATATGTTAGCTTTTGAGTTAATCGAGCATCACGAAGTACTTGTCTTAGACCTTCAAGTCTTTTGATATTGGAATCTTGCTGTACGAAAAAGGGGTTTTCTGCATTAATAGTTTATTGAACTTGAGCATGTATATTTGAAACCATAGAATTCACTGTTGCAATATGCAAGATCATATAAGTTACTCCTGTAAGCCATTATTAAAGTTATTCTGCATATGTATTTTATTTTTATCAGCTGCATTCTCTATGTTATTTTATCTGCTTTTTTAGTAATATGCAGACTATATATAAAGAAAGGAAGGTGTGCTCTTCATTGTCTAATTGAATTTTCTAACAGTCTCTGATTCCTTTTTTGAAAGGTTTCCGAGCTTTACAGAATTTACAAGATGCTTTGTAGGTATTGGTTTAAATGATTCATGCGGCTTTGCGTTAATCAATTTTTAGGTGCTTGTGGAAATAATTTTTAGACAAGTTTAATTTCATTGAAGATTTGGCCTTCGGTATATGATGATTATTCTTTTCAGCTTTGAAGGTAGAATAAATTGTGTCAAGATCCTGTTAGCAAATAATATTTTGAAGCAGTTTTTGGGACCTTCCTTTTATGTTCTTCTATAAATGAAGACTCTAGTGTTTGGTACTGTGAGTAGTTTCCTATCAGCCCATCAAGGAGGGAGGGAGGGAGGGAGGCAGGGGGGGGGGATTTGTTTCTGTTTGTTGATGACATTGAATGCATTTATCTTCACTATGCTTAAGGAACATCATCAGGAAGCCCTTGCTACTGAGAGCCTTCTAGCAGCCTGATGTGGTGTAGGCTTGTAGCTTTTTGATTTGCACTCTCTAGCTATTAACCACAGGGAGTGCAGCAAGGTATGTGCATGTTACCATATAGAAAGAATTTACATGATGCTTTGTAGGTATTGGTTTATATGATTCATGCAGCTGTGCGTTAATCAATTTTTAGGTGCCTGTGGAAATAATTTTTGGACAAGTTTCATGTCCTTGAAGATTTGGCCTTCAGTATATGATAATTATTCTTTTCAGTTTTAAAGATAGAATAAATTGTGTCGAGATCCTGTTAGCATATACTATTTTGAAGCAGTTTTTGGGACCTTCCTTTTATGTTTTTCTATAAATGAAGACTCTAGTGTTTGGTACTGTGAGTAGTTTCCTATCAGCTCCTCGAGGGGAAATGGAGGGAGAAGGTTGTTTCTGTTTGTTGATGACATTGAGTGCATTTATCTTCACTATGCTTAAAGAACATCAGGAAGCCATTGCTACTGAGAGCCTTTTAGCAGCGTGATGTAGTGTGTAGGCTTGTAGCTATTTGAGATGCACTCTCTTGTTATTACCTGCTGGGAGTGCAGCAAGGTAGGGTGCATGTTACCATATGGAAAGAAGCGAAGTGTAGCGAATCATGCTACCGTCAAAAGTTTTGCTAATCAGCAGGCAATAGAGCTCGCCAATAGGTGCAAGCAGTGTAGGGAATCACATAGATAAGCCACTTCCTGCCAGCTCGCAGATAGATAGGGTGAGCGAAGCGCCAAGGGGATGGATGTCTGAGTGGTGGAAAGAATAGGTCTTGAAAACTGAAGTATTGATAGGGATACCGGGGGTTCAGATCCCTCTCAATCTGCGAAGTCATACTATATCTGTATACCTGCTTCTTCTTTTTTTTTTTTTTTTTTTTTTTTTTTTTTTTTTTTTAACCTATTGGCTATTCAATAAGTGCTTGATGCCATAAAGACAAATTTGAGACTAAAATAATCTGTGCTTGACTGGTTTTCTGCCCTGGTAGAAGTAAGCCACAAGCATGCTGAACTTTGCAGCAGTAATTGAGATGGCACCTAGATTTTTTTTTTTTTCTGTTGCAGTTTGCATTTTGGGAGCATCTTTTGACAACTCAAGTTTGTTGTCTCTTGCATTTGGTTCTTTTAACAAGTACAATTATTTTCATGACCTTAGTTTTATGAGAATTCATAGCATTTTTAAGCTGATGCACCAAGATCTGCCTTCTAATTCAGGTTTTACTGGAAGGACTCCCTCCAAATGCACTTACTGATGATATAGAGCGCTTTCTTTCTGGCTTAGAATTTCTTCCATCCTCCATTAAGACATTTGCAAGGTTAGTGTAGTAGTTTGCTTTCAAGTTAAACTGTTATAAAATTGCTATAATTTTTTAAAGGTCATTGCTTGGAATATTATTGCAGGCGTCAAGATCCCATTAATTCTCAAGGAAGAAAAGATCTCACCACTTCTGAAGGAAAAAGAGATGCCACTACATCCGAAGAAAAAGAAAATCTTAATGCTTCCGAAGAAAAAAAGATCTCATTAGAATGGCTATTGTACGCTTTTCCACACGTACTGAGGCGATGAATGCCTTAATTAAAAAGCATCGAGGCTTCTGTCTCAATAATCAAATCTCAGTGCGGGTTCTCCAGTAAAGGATATACGCACTATTTGGCCCCTTTTGTTTTTGGGCTTCTCACTTCAAAATTGAAGGTAGAGATTGTTATTTGGTACTAGTTATACTCGCAATGCCTGAAACATAGCGTAACATTTGGATTTCTCAAATTGATTAAGAGCCTATTGGAGGTTCATGTTTTTATGAAAGCATTGCATATTTTAGTTTGGCTTTTCAATTATCATGTAGGAATACAATCTGGCAGCTATTGTTTTTTTTACTCACATAATTTTTAGAGATGAATCTTTTGATGGGAATTAGTATGGAATAACATTATATGGTGGGTCTTTCGAGCATAGTATCGGAGGTTCTTTCTCCATTCCTGCAGATATTTTCCTTTATCCTTGTGTTTTGCAAACCTTATATACCATCCATTAAATTCCGCTTCATCCGTATTTTCTCAGATGTTTATTACCATTCAGCCCATTTTACGAAAAAAAGAAAAAAGAACAGAAAAGAACCTTCTTGCTTGTACTTACTATCCAAAATGAAGTGGATTTTTTTGGATTTTTATTATATGGAATACCTGAGCTGTTTAGTTATTAAGAATAAAAAGTTCAAAATAAAAATGTAGAAATCAAAATGGAAATTAGAATATTGAAATGTTATTTGTATTTTCATGAAATAGTAAATAAAAGATCAAAATGAAATTTAAAATTTTTAATATTTGATTTTAAAGGTAAATAAAAATAATGATAAAAAATAATAGAGTTGAATGTAGATTTATGATTGAGGAGGACGTTATGGTAATAGTATAATAATATGTATAATATATTTTTAAAAAATTGATACCATCATTATACGAGATGATAATAGAAGAAAAGTAATGATGATAGTGACGACAATAGCCGGATGTGTCATCATTATTAAATAATGATGATAATGAAATAATAAAAATATTATTATTATTACTGAGTAATAATAGTTATGGTATAATAAAAGTAATATTGATAGTAAAAGAGATGTGACGGTGGAATAATAAAAAGAATAATTTTTTTATCAATTTTTTTTTTTATCAATACTTTAAATAATGTTGGTAGATGAGGAGGAGATGAAGATGATACAGTGGTAGAAATAATTAATATATATTAAAATAAAAATAATATATCTTTATTTTTGAGAATTTTTTTTAATTTTTATTTTCACTTTATTACTTTTAACAAATAAAAAAATTTTTATTTTTATTTTCGTCATTCAATTCTTAGCTACCAGTCATCGACTTTACTTTGGATAATCCAACTTTTCTAAGCCATTTATTGCCATTCAACTCACTCTACCAAAAAAAAAATTAAAAACCCTTTATGCCTAGTGGTTTTTCTCTTTCACATGCATTAAACAGTACGATCACTTCTCAACATGTTGTCTTGAGACAAACAAATAAAGCGGATACTTTATATTTCCCAATTTGCTACAGATTGATGGTTGAAACTTGTTCAGCTATACCCTTTTTCGTTGGAAGTGTGCAAATTAGACACCATATTGATTTTTGATATGCTACATAGAAATTGAAGAATTGAAGGGCGTATCAAAACTAATAACCATCCAATTTGGACGGTGCGAAGCTATGCCAAAAAAGAAATGGAAACCTGGAATAGCCGCTATTTTCTTGCAAGTAAGATGGTGGAAAATGAAATCGGCATGCCATGAAAGACGAGCAACTTGGTAGCATCTCCATGAAGATTAAGAGCGATCAGCGCCCTTCTATTGCTGCAAAGCAACAAAGTTCTCTTTTCATCGTCTTGGACCAAAAATTGTATCCCTTAGGACTGCAAAATCCTTTGCCGGCGGCCCAACTAGAACCCAGGTTTTTATCTTGACATCATGCACCATGCAGCTCCACAAACAAATCATTAACCTTGGTACATGCCTTGCGTGATGCATCCTACTGATGAAGATGGGAGGTTATGGACTCGCATTCTAGTGTATATCTTCACTGACCTCTTGCATTTCAGGTGCGCATCCTGAAGTTATCATGTGATCTACCAGCCAATCCAAAGCATCAAGAATTTCACTTACTCTAGTGTTTGACCAGTCTTCTGTTCTAAATCTATAAACCTCATTCTTGATTTCAATCCAGCTGCAGCCAGCATTCGTTTTGAGCCTTCTATCCTTCATCAATTTTCTCACTTGAGCTGCCTGATCCCAGAATCCCATGCTAGCATACAAATTCGCCAACTGCACATGGGTAGCAGCGCACCCTGGTTCCAGCAACAGCCTGTTCTCTGCAGCTTGTATGCCAATCCAAACGCTCCCATGAAGCCTGCAGGAAGATAGTAGAGAACCCCATATAACAGCATTGGGAGCTATAGGCATCCTTTCAATAAAATCTCGAGCCTCGTCTAGTAATCCAGCACGGCCAAGAAGATCAACTATACATGAATAATGATCTAGTTCTGGCTTCACACCATATTTAAGCATTGAATTGAAGTAATTCCTTCCTCCTTCAACAAAACCTGAATGTCGACATGAAGATAAAACACCAAGATAAGTAATGGCATCAGGTTTCAGCCCCTGATTCTTCATTCTTTCAAAAAGCCCAATCCCCTGCACTGCCAACCCATGTTGAGCATAGCCACCAATCATAGAATTCCATGACACGATATCTTTACCACCTAAGTTCTCAAATATGTACAATGCATCTTCAACATTCCCAGACTTGCAGTACATTGATATAAGAGCATTGGCTATATGCAAATATGAATAAAACCCCATTTGAATTATTTGACAATGAGCACTTCTACCTTGCCCAAGAGCTCCACTACCGGTGCATGCACTCAAAAGACTTATGAATGTGAAATCGTTGGGTTTCAATGTTGAATTTCTCATTAAAGAATATAGCTCTAAGCACATATCAACTTTCCATTCCTGTGCAAACCCAGAAATGATGGCTGTCCATGAGACCACATTTCTCACAGGCATTTCTTGAAACACTTTGTAAGCATTCTCCAAGTCACCGCATTTACCGTAGAAAGTAATTAAAGAGCTTCCTACATAAGCATTGGCGATAAAGCCACTACTTATTGCCACGCAATGATACTGAATACCACTGCGAAGATCACCCGTGGACGCGCAATAACTCACAGCATTCGACAAAACACTCGCATCGAAACTCAAGCTCCTTGTATTAGAATCTTCTTCATCGTTTAGGAAAGAAGCTTTAAGAATTTCGTCAAACACATTGGAGACTCCATCATCTGAGTTTGGAGAAATGAAACCGTTGCTTAAGCGTTGTTCACTCGTTCTCTTTGAATGTGTTTGTAAAAAGCCCTGAATGACACGAAGATGGTTCTGGTGGTCTGTTTGGGTGGTTGTTCTGGGGGCTATAATGTCTAGAATTCTGAGTGCCTTGTCTAAACGTTTGGTGTGTGCTGTGCGTCTGAATTTTTGAGAAGAGAAAGGTCTAGGGTGTGGTAGAGCTTGAAAAAGTTGGGTGGCGTAAGGGAGTTTCTTCCTGAATCGTGTTTGAAGTGAAACAATATTCATGCCTGACCAAAATAGAATCCATGAGCTTCTGCTTAGGATATTCTTGCATCTATAACGAAGCAGCTAAATGGGTAATTTATGATGACCCAAGTCAATTGAGCAAACATTTTCACCATTCTACCTTTTCATCATGCAATCTGCTCAATTTATGGAGTTCACAAATGACGTACCAACGTACCGATTCCCATTTCCAATGCAGTTTCTTCTTCTTCTTTTTTAAACCCTAATAAAGAAATGATCTATCCTTATTCTTGGAGGTGTGGCTGGATGATAAGCCATGGAGAATATTAATATAAGCATGTATATAATATTCTCCATGTTATAATATCGAGTTTGAATTCAAAAGAAAGTAGAAAAACTTTTCTCATAGAAACAACAGCTAATAACCATTAAAATCGGAAATAAGAAAAAATAACATCTTTATTTTCTAATATATAAAATTAGAAATAGAAGTCATTGTTTTTGTTTTTATTTTTATTTTTTTCAAAAAAAGAAATTTTATTTTTATTTATTTTTTTATATTTTAAAATTAATAAATCGTTTTTTGGACGTGGCTAAATAGCAGTCCAACATACCATCTCGGATATTACGAGGATAAATTTTCTGATCATGAGTACCTAATTTACAAATAAAGGCCTGCTTACTTGTGGAAAGAAATTTTATTAATAGGGCGAAAATAATTAATAAAAATGTATTTTATTTAGTATAATTAATCGCATCTGCCATTAGCGAACCGAATATTCCGTCATACGCTATATGTTCGTTTCGTAAAGACAGCCAAAAACAAAAGCAAGAAGCGCGCGCTCTCTTCAAACCATAGATAGTTACTTTGAAAACTGAAATCGTGAAGCTTAGAAGCATAATTAATGATGTCAAAACGAAACGAATATAAATGAAATCTTTCACATTAATTGCTTCAGTTTTTTTAAAAAAATTCCCAAACTCCCTCCCTCCTCTACCTCCGTATATTAATTCATTTCAGAAACGCCTTTTTCTCTCTCCCTAGCTGGCTGTGTCCAAAAAATATCGCATTTCAATTCAATTCAATCCATTCCATTCTTCCCACAACTCTCTCTCACTCTTACAATTTCGCCTTGAATTCATCGAAAGCTGATTCAGTATTTCCAGGTCTCAAAATTCGCCTGCCCGCAAATCAGAGATTTTCATATATACCCTGTCTCAGGCACAAGTTTTTCATAAATAGATCGTGTTTTTTAGATAATATTTTATCATTGACTATGAAACAAACCAGGGATATTTTTATAAGGTAGAGATTTAGTGCTGTTTTGTTAATGATCTGTAATTATTGGGTATATTTTGGTGAAATAATTATTCGATGCATTAATTAATAAAGCTGTAACTGATTGATCATAGCAGTGAAGTAGGACCTTTTTTTTTTTTTTTGGAAGATCAATTATGGATTGTTCGCAGTCGCAGCAGCAGCACAGAAGAAGCAGTATGGTTCTGCTTTCTCCAACTCAAACTCCGCGATCAAGCGTAAGAAGGAGCTTGAGAGATTCGCTATTGATTGATTGGAGTTCGAATATGATCAAGCCTGATAAAGGAGTCAATGTGCAAGTCATTCTCTGCTGCAGGTAATAATCTATTTGATTATGGTTTATGATGCATTCTTGTCAATTATTACTTTCTTTGAGTAGTGTTAAAAATAATAGTAAAAACATCGTTGAGAAATTTTAGGCCTTTAAACGACGAGGAGATGCAGCTAATGTTACCTGGAGTGATTTCATGTAATGAAGATAAAGGAGAAGTTTCTGTAATACAAAACACAGCTTCTAAGCAGATAGATAAAACCTTTTCCTTTGACAAGGTTCGGTTCTTTATTGTGTTTCTTGAATTGGAAAAATTAATTTATAGTTATTAATTAATGCAGGATGTTTAATTTGCCTTTTTAGCTGTACTTATCGATATTTTGGTTTAGGTGTTTGGTCCTACATCGCAGCAAAAAGAGTTGTTTGAAGAAGCCATCGCTCCTACTGTAAATGAAGTTCTTGAGGGCTATAATTGCACTATCTTTGCATATGGTCAGACTGGAACGGGTAAAACTTACACAATGGAAGGTGGAAGAGTAGCGGAGGTTTTTGCCTAATGGGGCCCTTATTTTTATTTCTTCTACCTCTGATTTTTTAGTTTAGCATTTAAATTTATATATTTTCTCCTTTTCTTTGGTAGAGTGGAGAATTCCCTAGTGATGTAGGAATAATTCCAAGGGCTGTTCAGCAAATTTTTAATGTTCTTGAAGTTAGAAATGAGGATTATAGTATGAGAGTTACCTTTCTAGAGCTTTACTATGAAGAGATAATGGACCTGCTTGCACCGGATGAAATTTCAAATGACCCAGATGATAAGTCCAAGAAGCCATTAGCTCTTATGGAAGATGGTAGAGGTGGTGTTTTTATTAGAGGATTGGAGCAGGAACTTGTATGCACTGCAGATGAAATATATAAAATCTTGGAGAAAGGGTCAGCAAAACGACACACTGCTGACTCTCTGCTCAACATACAAAGCAGCCGGTCTCACACAATATTTACCATCAAAATTCAAGTCAATTAGAGTTCTTCTATTGGGGAGGAGCTAATAAAGTGTGGAAAACTTGACCTTTTTGATCTTGCTGGTTCCAAGAATGTAGTACGATCTGGTGCAAAAGAGGTATGGACATTATAAAGTTACCATTATTTTTTTTCTCTTGCTATTTAAATGCTTATCTTGTTTGTTCTCTGGCTTTCGATTTTAAGTACTTCAGATTTGCCTAATGTCTCAGCATATGATTTCTGTTGTATTTAGAGGCTATGTATGCATGATTGGCTGTTCCATTGTAACTATAACCAATTTAGCTATTTCCAAAAGTTGTCATCAACATTTTCGGGAGATTCATCAGTGAAGCAAGAATCTGGGGATCAAAATATTCTGTCAGATATCTGTGAGTCTGCTCACTCCTTGAATAATTCGAGAGTTACTTTCACAGCCGTCAACTAAGGTGGACAAACCAATAGACAATAACACACAGTAACACGATTAATATGTACATAACTACATAATTGCAGAAGAATAGCTATAGAAAGTAGCATTCCACATGTTCCCTTCTTAAGGATTTGTATATCAATTCTTCCCTTAACTAACTTCCAGTAAGTTTCACTTTCTTGAATGTCACTGCATCTAATTCTCTGTACTGGTGCTAACTGCAAAAGCAATTTCTTAACGTGATCTGTTAGTTTAATTTTGTTTAAGCCTATACCAGCCAAGTTAACATATGGAAATCAGATTTCAGTTGTTTAGATGCCAACCACATTCCACTTTAATTAATTCTTTGGCGTACCCGGATATTGAAACCTGATTTTTCCGGCGATTGGACCAATGGCACGTTATAGCTCCTTAGCACGTTCCTCTGAAATATATGATACCACTCTCTGTAAAATCAGTCGGATGTGATAGAGATATTTTTGGTCTTTAGAAATAGTTTTTCTTGGGAGATTTCAAGCTGCAGTGTCGACAACTCTGTTCTCGCAGGACAACAACTCTACAACTGGTTTCAGGATAATGCAATTCAACTGTCAGCCATTATCTTTAACATACAGATTAACAAGCAAGTTTCAGGCAGATATAAAGGAACCGCTTTTTCTTATATAGTAAGTCAACAAACTAACCAGTCAGGCACAAGTTTGATACAAAAAATGCATTTGCTGTAACATCACATATTGTTGAAGAGAAACAGATTCTAAGCACCGCAAAACTTTACCGGTGAGATGGCATTCTTGGTTGTAATTGACCTTGCAACTAGGTTTACAAAATTCGACATCCTTTAAGAGGGAGTCATAGATTCCTGTACACCAGAGAACTCTCAGAAAAGCTTCTTTGTGTCCCTCAGTTTTCTTTCTCTGAACTTGCAGTAGTATTAGCTTTAGTTATTCGTGGGTGGGTCACATTTTTTACTGATTTGTTAACAACAGTCTTCTGGCTCTTCTTGATGATCTTCAGTGCTAATGACTTCAGTGGAACTGTAATATCCAGGGGCAGAAGAACCTCTTGCAACTCTTTCCAGTCAAGTTCTTCAGAATCACCATCTTCATACACCACCTTGTACCAGCCAGTTTCCTTGTCAAACAGAGAAACAGTTCCACTATAATAGTGCTCCCCAAACAACTTTCGAACTCCTCTCCCTTCCAACCATTCACCAAAACTCGAATTTCCGAGAAATTCTGCATTTTGACTTGTATTTCGACATGATTCCGCATCACCTATGGTACTTGAGAAAACAAGACCACCCTCACTTGGAGAGATGTCCGGCACACCATTAATAACTATCGCTGGCTCTCCCGGTAACTCGAAAACTCCAGTTGGTAAAGACTCCATTTCTAGCTCTTTGCTTGTGTTATCCATTTTTAGCACTCTTTCTTAATCAGCCAGTGACAATACTAAACAAACTGAAAAGGCAGCGGATTTTTGAATTAATTACAATCTGAAAAGGAAACTTCCATATAATTGAAAGCGTTAGATTGCAAGCACAATAATTAATTTGACTTGACATAATTTCACATACTACTGCACATTTCTGAAGCTTTCAAAACTTGTGCTACAAATATTAATGGTTTCACCCATAAATTACTTCAATCTCACATCATTATTCATGCAAATCTGTATAGTTTAGAAAATCTATCCTATTTTCCCTAATCTTTGTCCCAAACAAACCCTACCTTCACCAAAGCACGACCAATTCTATAAATCACAAATTGAAAAAAAGAAAAAACCAGTTGAATCTACTTACTGCTTTGAACTGAATTCAATGTTTCACCATTGTGATTTCAAGTATTTCATAGTTTGATTTTCCTCTGTCAGGTACTTTCGAGAGCTTCAAAAATCCTCACCTCCAAACAGCTAGCACCTCGCAAATACCAACCGCCTCCCCAAGATTTTAAATACCCCGCATCCAGTCCAACTACAGTTGCGCTATTAACCCCACTCTTCCCCCATTTAAAAAATACGCCGTCGTTTCCGAAGCGACGTGTCGTTAGGCTCTTCACTATAAAACCACCCCCGACAAGTTCGAAACCCCCCAATAAAGCAAATGAATGTGGCGCAATAAAATATCGAACTCCTTCACCAATGGCCAATACGACTATCTCTTATACGGTCGTCTGTTCAAGTACTTCACGGACAACCGTCTTCCTCTCCAAGCCAAACAGCTTCACGCGCGCCTCCTGCTGTCTTCAACAACGCTAAACAACTACCTCGCGGCGAAACTCATTAACTTGTATTCGAAAACCAATGACATTTATCCTGCACGCCATGTGTTCGATCAAATTCCCCATAAAAACACATTCTCTTGTAACGCCTTGCTAATTGCTTACACCACCAATAATCACCATAAAGACGCAATAAAATTGTTTTCATCGTTGTTATTGTCTTCCTCTGGAGATTTACAACCCGATAATTATTCGATAACGTGCCTTTTGAAGTCGTTATCCAGCTTGTTGTTGGTTACCGATGTTTGTTTGGGTAAGGAGGTTCATTCTTTTGTTTTGAGACGTGGGTTAGTTGAGGATGTTTTTGTAGAGAATGCATTGATAAGTTTTTATTCGAAATGTTTAGGTGTGGGTTTTGCGAGGAAACTGTTTGATAAAATGCTTGAGAGAGATGTTGTTACGTGGAATTCTATGATTGCTGGGTATGCACAATGTGGTTTTTTTAAGGAATGTAAAGAGTTGTATAGAGAAATGGTAGCGTTCTCCGGGTTTAAGCCTAATGCGGTCACGGTGCTTAGTGTTTTACAAGCGTGCATGCAGTCACAGGATCTTGTTTTAGGGATTGAAGTTCATAGGTATATAGTTGATAATAAGATTGAATTGGATGTTTTGGTCTGTAATGCGTTGATTGGATTGTATGCGAAGTGTGGGAGTTTGGATTATGCGAGGGAGTTATTTGATGAGATGGGCGAGAAGGATGAGGTGACTTATGGCACGATTATATCAGGTTATATGGCTCACGGTGTTGTTGATAAAGGGATGGAGCTTTTTAGGGAAATGAAAAGTCAAGGATTGAGCACATGGAATGCAGTGATTTCGGGTTTGGTGCAAAATAACCGGCACGAAGTGGTTATAGATTTGGTAAGAGAAATGCTGGGTTTTGGTTTTAGGCCTAATGCAGTAACACTTTCAAGCGTACTTCCTACTTTATCGTATTTTTCAAATCTGAAAGGAGGGAAAGAGATACATGGTTATGCAGTTAAAAACGGTTATGACAGGAATATCTATGTTGCAACTGCAATTATTGATACTTATGCAAAGTTGGGATTTCTTTTTGGGGCTCAGTATGTTTTTGATCAATCAAAAGAGAGGAGCTTGGTTATTTGGACTGCAATAATCTCCGCATATGCTGCCCATGGTGATGCTAATTCAGTTCTTACTCTTTTTTATGAGATGTTGAACAAAGGAATCCAGCCAGACCATGTGATGTTCACTGTAGTGTTGGCTGCTTGTGCTCATTGTGGAATGGTGGATAAAGCTTGGGAGATTTTCAATTCCATGTCTAAGAAATTTGGCATTCAGCCTTTAGGAGAGCATTATGCATGCATGGTTGGTGTTCTGAGCAGGGCGGGCAGGCTCTCTCAAGCAACAGAATTTATTTCTACTATGCCAATTGAACCGAATGCAAAAGTTTGGGGTGCATTGCTCCATGGAGCTTCGCTTTGTGGTGATGTTGAACTTGGAAAGTTTGTTTCTGGTCATTTGTTTGAAATTGAACCAGAAAACACTGGGAATTATGTCATCATGGCAAATTTATATTCTCAGGCAGGGAAATGGAAAGAGGCTGATGCAATCAGAGAAAGGATGATTCAATGTGGTTTGAAGAAGATCCCAGGCTGTAGTTTGATATAGACTAGTAAAGGGTTGCAAAGGACACCTCTAATGAAAACACTGAAGAGATATATGCAATGGTGGGAGGTTTGTCTGGATTGGTGAAGGAAGAAAGGAATGTTTTGGAGGAAGATCACTATAAGGTCGCTGTTTATGGTTGATCGCTGAACTCATTGATTTGAACAGAATGGGTGTAAATTAGGAATGGGAACGAGCACTTCAATGTAGCTATGTTTTGGTAAAGCCTCTGTGATTCACACACCCTGCTCGGCTGCTCTCACATCACATGGGGATCCCTAACAAGTGGTGTTGGGATATTCAGAAGCATCATATTTGTTATTGTTGGGATATTTAGAACTGGGGAGTGATATTTTGTGGAAATTAATATTATGACAGTCTGACAGCTATGCTCAAATGTCAAAACTAGGGCTGCTCACTTCTGCGCGAGTGTTTAATTTGGAAATATGCAGCCATCATAGAGGTCAGGAATCTAAAACAATGTCTAACTATAACTTGTTCTGTTTAATTTCATTCCCTTTCTTCTTGTAAGATCTCTTTTGATTCCCATTATTCAAAGGGGTGTAATTTTCTAGGAGAAAATTGAGATTGATTCCCATAACAAGGGAATTCAGTTGATACATTAGGAAATAGGACACGGAGGCTTTTTGGTTTATCCGTGTTTCCTAGTTTTTCACTTAAAGAAATTTTTGACATGTAAGCTTTTTGACATCACTTGGGAAAAGGTTTTGGAGTAGTGACTCTTAGCTTTACTTTGACGGTGGTGGCTTTTTCTCATCACTAGTAGCCAATACCATCATAACTGTTAGCTTTAGTTATTTACTGAGGAAAAAGGATTTAAGATCTGTCTTTTTATTCAAGTGGCAAGCCTTTACTTGCAGTTGTAGTTAAAGTGCCCCATGGAATAATTGTCTGTCCTAGTTTGTTCTCATTCTTCCTTTCCTTTAGTTGTTCCTAATGTACCTAGTTGCCAATTATCATTATGTCTGCCATTAGATGATTTTCTTTCATAATGACTAAAACCCCCAGACTTACTTTCCTGGACTTCTAATCTTTAAGTAACATATCTTCTTGTGATCTTGTCACCTGTATATACCCATTGGATGATTTTCCAACTTTGCATGGTGTATTTATTCTGTCAAAAACTTGTTTAGCCCGAGACAAAGGCGGTGCATGCAAGTGTGAAGTGTAACAATAGGCCGCGATAAGGGCAAGGGTAGTGTGCTCGCTAAGTTCCATGAAACCTTTTATTAATCAATAATGTAGCTTATAGGAGACAAGAGAAAGAAGCCATGGATGGGCCAAATGATTATTTTTCCTCTTCTACTTGTTTTGTTGCTTTTAAGAGTAGAGCATACTAATCAGAGATAATGAAAAGAATGGAATGTGAAACGTGTTTGAACCCGACACGTACGTGTAGACAAAATACCTACCGTATTCCCAGCCACTCCATTCTATTTTTCTCCACAACTTCCCATCTCGAAGTTTCATGTACAGCCAGTAGCCACCGAAATCACCTAATGGAAACTGATCATGTCCCCTGCTTTCTCTTTGCTACAAAACGACTTGGGGCAGAAAGACTGTCTTGCCCAAGAATATTGGCACCTATCGTAAAGTTTACATTGATTAAGTAAAAAAGTTTAGTGACCAGTGTAGTATTTCTTGCAAAATGTGTAATAAGATTGTGTGGAATTTGATATATATATATATATTCATAGACATCTCCAAGTGATATTATGGACAACCAAAATATCACGTTTTTAGTGCATAATGTAGATAGATATGTGGGGATCGGCCGGTTGAGATCGTGAAAATGTTATAGAACTTTCTTATTTGATATATATATATATATATATATATATATAATTTTGTTTCTTTTGAGTCCCTCAAGTTTTGCAAAGTATTTGGGTGGAAGTAGAACACTTCTAAAATAAATCTAAGGACGTTAACGATATCTCGTTTTAAATTTTAATATTAATTTACATTGTCATCAACATTTGATTTTTAAATTTTGATTTGTTTAATTCCAAAGTTAATAATCGAATACGATGTAAGCCATCAGATTTTTGAAACAAGTTATCCTCCTCTCATCCAAAAACTTGAGAATACCGGAAAAATTTGGAGAAGAGGTAAATCTCTCTCTCTATACCATGATTTGATGGAACTTTTTTTTTTTTTTTAATTAATATCATAAGGGAGACAATTGTCATTAGAACAAGAAACGATGCCCAATTAGTCAGTCAAGCTTACATAAAAAGCCACACATTCCTCTTAACTTTACACACTAAGTGAAAGTCCAGGCACACGATCCCATAGTTAATGGAAGAAGAAACAATCATCATCGCAGCACTCTCCACCCTCACCTCTTCCCAACTCACAGATCTCACCAGCTCCATCCTCTCGCTAACCCTCCACCACCACGGCCGCCTCTCCACCATCCTTTGCTCTCCCTCCCTTTTCTCCCTCACTCTCCACCACCTCCACTCCCTCTCCCTCACTCACAAAACCCTACTCATTGCCAAACACCTCCTCTCATCACTCCACCACCTCACACGTCACTTCCACCTAAAAACACTCATTCCACCACAGCCCACCACCACCATCAAACGCCGTGACCTCGACTCTGCATTGCTTCTCCTTTTCGTCTGTGACGTACATCAAGAACACCCCGAAATACTTAAAACACCACACTCTGAATGGCGTGAGGGTTTGAGAAAACATTGCTCTGATACCGTGCTAATGCAATCTAGCATCGGGGTGCATTACGGTGGTGTCCTTTTACCATATATTGAGATGGTGATGAGGTGTTGGAGATTTGTTGGCGTAATGGCTGGTTGTACAGTGGAGGGGAGGAAGGTGGCAGCAGCACCGGCAGCAGTGGTGGCGCTTCCGGCAGTGGAGGTGATAGGAGGTGGCGAGGAGTGTGTAATATGCAGGGAAGAGATGAGTGAAGGTAGAGATGCGTGTGAACTGCCATGCGGACACTTGTTTCATTGGATGTGCATCCTGCCATGGCTAAAGAAGACGAATACTTGCCCGTGTTGCAGGTTCCAGCTTCCCACTGAAGATGTGTTTGGTGAGATCGAGCGGCTGTGGAATGTTCTGATCAAGATTGGTGGTGGGGTCCTTAATGAGAAAGATGTCGATCATGGCTGTAGTGTGGACGTGGCTGAATCACAAGGACTTATTGACCTGTAGTGAATTAGGATACTTGTTCGTTTACTAGGCAAACGTGGGCAATTAATGTTTGGGTTATAATGAATGGTCGTAATGAACAGGCAGTAGAGGATCACTTATTGATGATAAAGACGCCTGTGGTTAAGGGTAGAGGCATGTCTGGAGAATTATAGATTTGTAGCTAAATAAATGAAGGGATTACATATATTTATGGGGTGGATAGGAATAGTTGATTATGGAACATAAAGGACCAATAGTTTTACATAATTTGTCACTAGCTAGCTTTCAAAATCACCTTAATTTTGTGGGTCAATTGTATTGTATTATGGTATATATGTATGTACCAAAAAACTTACAAATATATAGATTTGCATTCACTTCAGCAAAAGGTTTGCTTTGCCTGGTGGTCCAAATCATTGCCAAAAAGGCAGGAAAAAAAAAAACCTTCGTTTCCTCGTTTGAGCAGTATGTAGACTTATTTTTCCATGAAGTTATAAACTCGAAGATTCGTCTGTTAAGAATCATCAGTCGTTGATTCGTGATTATAATTTCCGGATCAAATCATAAACTCGTCTGTTAAAAAAGGTTAACAAATCTCTTGTTTCTCAATTGTGAAGAGTAATTTTCTTTCTTTTTTTTTTATCCCCTCGAGAGGTGAGTACTAATCCATTTGTCACCATGGATAAGTTGGGCTTCATGCAATAATTTTAGCCTAGAGTGCAGTGAGTTGGGCAATTGAACATCGAGTCACGAAGAGAGGGTTTCCATCTCATCTCAAAAGCAAGACTCTGCAAGCCCTACGAAAACCCAAAAAATCTGAACAACAAGCAACTTCAATTTCGTCACAGGTCCGCAAACAAGAATGAAAATTGAAGAGGTTGAGTTCATCTTCCAATTATCTCATTTTGCCATAATTCGTGCCTTAAAAATCCTACAATCTAAAGCTGATGTTATTCTTTTGAATAAGCGAAAACACATACGTAATTAATTTTATGTAATGAATCTTACATAAAATAAGCATACAAAATAAATACGAAAATTGACATAATGCAAAAAATGAATTTACTATTGATTGATATAAAAATTAATCCAAAAATACTTTCCTATCGATGAATATAAAAAAATAATAATAATACCAAAAAAGTATGATAAAACAACTAACCTGTTATCGTGTCCTTTGTGCAGTTATTATGCAAAATAAATTCATGTTATATAATATTGCTCTTGAAAATTTGAATGATAATGACATTATTACTACCACTAATATTATTATTAGTGGTAGCAGCAGCAGCACTAGTCGTAGGATGGGATGCTACGACGACTCACATGACAATATGCGAAGAATTAGTCTTACTGGCCTCGGCCCAAAATGAAAAGTAGAATAAAACTGAGCTTCCTCTTCAAGACTTCAACTTCGGCCAGGGCCCAAATCAAAGAAAACGTAAATTTAGTAAATCAACCACCTTCTCTTCTCTTGTGATTTTCCTTGGAAATATTTTCCCTTCTAGCGTAAAGTAAACATGACCTTTGTTTATTTGGAAAAAGAAAAAGATAACCCAATCAAACCAATGCTGAATTGTCAGGTTAGTGATTAGTACAAAATCTCTCTCCCTATCTCTTCTTATGATCAAACTAAAAGTTGATATTCTTCACCTTTTTTTTCCTTTTTTTTTTTTTTGGCTATGAAGGAAATGGTTTTAATTATTTGACGTGTCTTGAGCCTTCTAAGTATTATTAATAAAACAAACTAAAAAAATATATAGGAGGTTTGCTATTTCTCCCATTGTTCATTGTGCAAAAGTATTTTTTTCAACCGTACATTCTTACCTCTTGCTAATCCTGAACGTCCATCTCTCTTCTTTTATTTGTTTTACTAAGAAGAGAGAGAAAGGAATGATGAGGTCTATTTGGATTGTCTTGACTGTCCAAATTCTTTTAATTTATTCATCTTGAAGTAGAATTTATATTTGGTGGTCACAAATCTTGAAATTGTTAGACGAGGTAGATTGAAGTTTTAAAAAATTTTGAGCTTTCCGAGTTTAATTTGAGACTTTATGAATTTTGAATTCATTAAAATGGAACTTGAGGCTTCAAACAAGTTTATAGACTTTATTTTTTATAATTTTGAGGTATTTTTAAGCAAAAATAAATCTGAATTTGAGTTTAAGGTATTTATCATTGGTTACTAGATAGATAGATTATGATAGCATTTTGTGCTTATGATTGATTTAGGCTGCAAACAATAATGAAAATTGAATTTAGTATTAAGGAAATACTAAAAGTTAATATTCTCTCACATTTTTCTTTCTTTTTTTCGCTATTAAGGAAATGGTTTAAATTATTTCAAGAGTTTTCAGCCTTCTAAGTATTATTAATAAAACAAACTAAAAGAAGCGAGAGGTTTATTATTTCCTCCAATGTTCATTGAGACTCCATCTCACTGTGGATGAATAATAATTTTTTTAGCCGTTCATTCTTGCCTCTTGCTAATCCTAATTAACCGTCCATCTTTCTTCCTTTATTTGTTTTGGCAAAAGCATTTTACCTTGGTCTCTTGTTTTAAAAACAAACTTTATTTTCGATCCCAAACTTCATTTTTCTTACATTTTGGTCCCTTCATGCTAAGTAGAGAGAGAGAAAAAAAGGGTGAGAAGGGAGACGAGAGAGAGCACGAGAGAGAGAGGAATGATGAGGTCTATTCTGACTTTCTTGAACCGTTGAAATTACATTAGGTTTATTTGTCTTAAAGAGTATAATTTATTATTATTATTATTTTTTTTTTTTGTGGTGGTCACAAATCTTGAAATAGTTGGGAGAAGGTAGATCAGAGTTAAAAAAAAAAAAAAAAGGGTTTTTTAGTTTAATTTCACATTTTATGAATTTTAAATGCATTAAAATAGAATTTGAGGCTCCAAATGAGTTTGTGAATTTTATTTATGTAATTTTGAGGCATTTTTAAGCAAAAAATAACTCTAAATTTGAGTTTGAGAGGTCGAAAACTGTCAAAACTCGTTTTTCCAGTGAGTTTTCTGACCAACTTTGGTTGCCCAGAGGTCGTAGACAAGCGACATGTCGTGTATTGTGCAGGCAACGAACAATATGTCTCTGATTACCTGCTTTATATATACATAGTCCTAGCCTGCACGGACCTTGAACCAGACCCAAGTGCACGAAGCCTGTGCCTTAGTTTTTTTTTTTTTTTTCAATAATTTTTTTATTAAGGATTTTTTTAGCAAAAATTATGAAATATCAAACATTATTTTTTGAGTTTTTACGTAGTTTGGCTAGAATTATATATATATATATATATATATATATATATATATATATATATATATATATAAACATATATTTCATATTATATTACTCTTGTTATTTAAATTTTATGTTTTTTATTTTTCATTTTTCATTTTTTGGGTGAAATTCTCATCTAATGATTTTTTTTCTTATTTTTGATAAAATTTACTAATAAATATTATTTATTTTTTCTACATATATACTTTGGAACAAATTTTTAGAATATGATTGTTTTTTCCTTTTTAGAAAATAAACTTATATGATTTATATCATGTACTCTAAAATTATTTAAGTGATGGTGCCATGATTATAAATATGTATTTAATATAAAGGTTAATAGTGTATTTAAAATAATTCGTGTTTGATTTTTTTTATGTGGGTTACACTATCAAGCCACTCGAATATATTCATGACGTATATAAAAAAATTATTTCAGCTAAACCATCCAATGATTCAAATACATTTTTTATACTAATATTATTGGCTATTTTGTGAATAAATATATATAAATCAACTATATATACTTTCAAAAAATAATTTTCTCATCAATATTAAATAAAAATAAAAAATTATTTTTTGATAAGATCTCATGTTCAATATATTTTTATAGCATGTTTTTGAATTTTAAATTAAATTTTAAATTTAGTTTATTACAAGTTTTTATTTAAGAATAAATGCGTAAAAAAATAAACAATTCATGTTTTTTTTAGTTGAAAAAGTATATAAAAAAATAATTAATTAAATATAAAATTTTGATTAAAAACTTTTAGTGTTTTCTTTTAATCTTTGATTCGATATGGTTTCATAGACCCGCAACATGGCGTTAATTATCAAACTGAAATAATTTTGTTTTACCCGCCTCATGGAATAGAGCGGACAATCGACTAGAACAAAACATTAAAAAATTTGAAAAAAGCACTATTCACCCAGACTTAATGTACTATTTATTCAGACTCATATGCACTATTTATTTTTACTATGTAGTGGTATTTTAGTGATTTTTAGGATGTTTTCAAGCATTTATATTCAAGCTTTACTCAATGTTCTATTTTAGTCTCTCATGTTTTCTTAAAAAATTATTTTCATCTCTAATTTCATTTATTTCACATTTTGATCCCTGGACTTTTTTCCAGTAATTTATTTTTATTATTTTTAATTATAGATTTTGTACTAAATTTATGGGAAATAATCGTTGTTGTTTTTGGTTTTTCATACAACTCGACGATGAAGAACTATGATTTCTTTGATTTGTCTTTTTTTTTTTTTTTTGCTTTTAGGTTTTAAGATGATTTCTTCAATTTTTTATTTTTATGAAAAAATCAATTAATTTCTTAATTTATTTTTTATATAATTATTTATTTGTTAATAAAATATGATATTTTTTTCTCTCGTTTGGATTTTTGAATAAAATTTTAGACTCGATTATTTTTTTTAAAAAAATACGTTAATATAATTTATATGATGAATTTTTGATAATTTTTAAATGGTATGTGTGTGTGTGTGTGTGTGAACCGCTTTATGATGTATATAAAAAAGTATTAGATAATTGATTTTATTGAGAATTAATTATACATCTATACACATAGCATTAATCATTGACTATTATTTTCTTCTTTTTAATATTTTAAAATTAGTTTCTTTCAAATAAAATAAATAATATTTTAAAAAAACTACATAATGATTCAAATACAATTTTTAATGCTATATTATTGATTATTTTGTGATTCAATATATATATATATATATATACACATGCTTTTAAAAAAATCTTTTCATCAATATTAAATAAGAATACAATTTAATTTTTTACTTGTTAATTTTTTAACATTTTTTTTACATTAATTGTAACTTTATTTTTTATATATATATAGAACATTATAGAAAAAAATATTAAGATTTTTTTAAAAATAATTTTAGATTCAATTTTCTATTTAAATTATTGCATATTTTTATTTAAGAATCAGTACATACAAAAAAAACAAATTATGTTTTTTCAATTAAAAATTATGAAAAACACAAGAAATAATCAATTAAATACTACACGGACAGCACAAAGCAAGCAACAACATAGTGAATTGTAGGCAAATTTAGGTTGGCAGCATACGTAAAATTGGAGCCCAGGAAGAGATGAGGTGGTCCATTTGAATGTTGATGAGTGCGCTCGAAGCTCCTTTGTCCATACTCACCAAGGGAAGAGCTATTATGTACACAAAAATTCATAATGCAAAATCAATTAAAAAGGTTGCCGTAGTTATTATTAGTAAATACAGCTACTTTCTTGGAGTGCATTGCAAGCTAATTTTTCAATACTTTAATTGAGCCAGCAGCGGCTAATGATGCCAAATTGTGTTGAAGTTGCAAATACATAATAAAGTCATATGATCCCAAAATAATAATAATAAATGGGTAATAAATAACTGTAAAAGACCAAGTATTTTTTATATTTAAATATCAAAAGATCGATTCTGTGGTTAAAACAATTCACTTTTTTTTCTTAATTTTTTGAGTTTAAATTTTAGAATAATACTTAAAAGATTTTATTAAATTTATTTGAATGCATTAGATCTTTACACCAATGTAAGGGATGATTTTTAAAATCATTTAAAAAAAATTAAAAGATTTTATTAAATTTATTTGAATGCACTAAATCGAGACTAATGTGAAGAATAGTTATTATACTCGTTTGAAAAAAAAATTTAAAAGAGTTTATTAAATTCATTTAAATGCATCAGATTGAGACCCATGTGAGAAATGATTTTTAAGATCGTTCAAAAAAATATTTAATTTTAATTCATATGAAAATTAATTTGAGAATACTTTATAAAAAAAATATTATTGATATTTTAACAAATGTAAATTGCATTGATAAAAAGGTAGTCGGAGTAAAAACAAATGGAAAATACATTTATTTTAAAAAAAATGGCGAATAAATTTGATTAGTTAGTGTCGAAGAGGAAGACAATTCAGGGACATCACGTGAGAATGAGGCTGAATCACAGAATGCAGGTCCGTGATATAATTCAAAATTTTGAATTTTGTTTTTTTATTGCAGCCGTACATTTATGCTCATATCGTATAGTAAACCGGTAAACCCGGGTTGGGTTGAGTTGGGTTCTCTTGTAGCGTAGGCCAATCAATAAATGCAAAGGAGTGCCTCTGCGTTGCTAAATTTGAAAGTGGTCCGACTGAAATATCCGCATATCTTTACCGCTGAAGGCCGGAATTTATGATAAGATAATTTCACACAGTTAAAAAAAAAAAAAAAAAAAATTAACGCAAAGAGACAAGACCAACGAAGGAAACAATGAAGGGTGGATTTAAAGGCACCTGATATGATAAAAGAGAGGCCAAGTACTAGCTTTTAAACATAGTAAAGTACACATTTGTTTCATACCATTTTCCACAGTTTTGGTTCTAAGAACAGCTGAAGCTGGGTTAAAGATCTTCAACATTTCTTTATTTGCTGAGAATCTAAGTAGGTTCAGTGACAGATGAAATGACAGCTACTGGTACGGAAGATAAAGGATGGAGGTGGGTTACTGTCGATCTCTCTGTTTTCCCTTCTTTAATATGTTCTTATCTCTCACGTTGTGAGATGGATTGTCTCTCAGTATCAGTGAAAGCAAGAAAATGGAAGGAGATGATAGTTTGAGGACTCTAGAATGCCTGAGAGGAAGATTGCTTGCGGAGAGACAAGCTTCAAAGATTGCTAAAGAGGAGGCAGAGCTTATGGAAAATAAGGTCTGTTCTTTCTATCCCTTACATTTGTATGGCCTTTAATTTGCTTTGTTTCTTCTCCTTCCGGGTTGATTGATGTTATTGCATGCATCACATTAGGGATGTCAATTTACATCCAGAATGCATTAACTGTAAGATCTCAAGTTTCTTTTTCATCTATTTTCGTTGGTATATGTAGTTAATAGAGCTTGAGAACAAACTCAGAGAAGAGACCCAATTGAGGAAAAAAATGGAAAAGAAGCATAAAATCTTGATGAAGAAGCTTCAGTCTTTGAAAATTTCACCTACATTAGAGGGATCAGAGCAGTCAAGTTCATCTGACAATAGTGGATTTTCTAGCACATCATCCACTAGTAATTCAAGCCACAAAGACCCTGAAGAATCTGAATCCAAGCCCCAAAGCATAATCCCAGAAGTCTCACATGATATGAAAGACAATGGCTCAGAAACAACTGCATCCAATCAAAATACTTGTACTGTTTTCGATTCCACTGAAGAGAGTGCAGGCACTCAAGATATTCAAGATTCAAATTCTGACCATAACATCGAAGACTGTTCTTCAGATAAACCTAGCCATGAATCCAAGGCATGTTCCCAGGATTCAAAGGCTGATGACCAAAGGTATCCGGACCAACATGCATTGTCCTTTTCAATTAATCATTTTTATTTATGCTAATTTAATGGGGTTTCTTTAAGCTAAATATAGTTAATATTCTGATAATCACTTTCAGTTCTTCGAGCATTAAAGCTTCAAAGGTGGAGATGGAGACAAATGCTGGAAATGAGAGTGGTAATGAGGATTATGTGGATAATCCATTGGCATTAGTCCCATTGAGCTTGCCAGCATCTACCAAGAAAAGTGAGCTGAAGATAGTTAACAGAAGTGTTATTGAAGTTCTTGATGCTTTAAGGCATGCCAGGGAGCAGATACAAAGCTCAATGGAGAGCAGACACATGATTAGAGTTGGCCCAACGCGTGTTAAATACAAATGATGTGGGTTATATATATATATATATAGCTAATAACATATATATATATATATATATATATATATATATAGCAGAAAGCGACATTAGGATGGGCCTCAATGATCTTAGTGCATTGAAGCAAGAAATGGCCAAGCATCATGAGGAGTGTAGAGTATTGGCCGAGCTAATATCATTGCATTAATCAGAGGTTTGAATGATTAATAAAGTTATATGACAGCGAACGTCAAAGAAAGCATGTGATGTAGGGAATTTACAAGGATCTGCTGTCCAGTTGATGCTGGATCTGGGTCCCAAATGTTGGCTATGCTCTTTCTTGTTTTCATTCTGCCTTTTTGGAGTTTGATTGAATTTTGACAGTTGAATGCGCTCACTTTATTGTTGATTTTTGTGACTTGTACCTATATGGAGAGTATATATGTGGCTTAGGCCAAGGCTTTTACTAATTTGTTTCTAGGCTTATTATATTCAGTTTAGTTTCTTAATATACAAATACGTAGCAATAAGGATTGCTGTAGTCGAAAGTTAAACCTACTTTTGGTTATTAAACTTCATGTATTAGTATAGAAGAGCAGAGTGAACCGAAGTATGTTGCTGGCTGCTGACTTTCTTAAGCTAACACGCAGTTCTGTTTTTAAACATCATTTATTAGTTTCTATATTGCACGAATGTATTCCAGATTTTATATCGAACACGTATATTTATGTTTGATTCGGCTGTCTTTTCAAATTTTCTTTCATTTTTCTTAAATAATTGAAGTGTTCAAAAATCCATACCAATATGCATTGGAACTTGGAAGAATCCGCAATGCGAGACATGAGTGCTCAGAAACAAAACAAACGATGGAAATATATATATATATAATGGGAATTGCCAAGCCAAAGAAACCCTTGGAAAGTCTAAACGGCTTTAATTTCGCCGAAGCCTTCTTGTAGATTTTGTCAATCCAATTCAAATGCTAACATCCAATTCACCATGGTTCAACCAGAAACGAGCATCACTCATGGTTATTGAAGGAAGCTTGCACAGAGCTTTAAAATAAATGGCATGGCAGTGACTATTGTTGAGCCCCAGAGTTTAAATACAGCCTTGAAAATCAGAACATGACTTCCAAGGGCGATGAACTAGGTTTTTGTCTTTAACGAAAAACTATGCCAAAACTTCAAGCTGAGCATGGTTACCGCTAACATTATTCCCTGAACTTGATAAGCATTTTTTGGTCTGTCCTTGGATGCCATGCCATCCCTTCACATGTCCGAGTATGTCCAGATTCCAAAACAGTGCAGATTTCTTGGGTTAACTGATAGATATTTCAAGAACAATGTTTTGTTGTCCTATTAAGACAGTTTTTAAGACCTTTACGAGCACCCGAGGAGAATGGCCTTCTCCAATCGGCAAGTTCAATTCAACCAAGCCCATCAGCTCAAGAAAAGAATACCTGTCCTTTTCTTTGGGCTGGGCCTAGTCTAAAACCAGGTCAGCCTATCAACTCTGGTTCGATTGTCATAAACCCAATACCCGTGGCAGATTCTAGTATCAAACTTCCCCAAATACTCAAAAGGAGCATCACCAGATTCACGCCTATTGAAGTTGTGGAAGCTTGCATGATTAAATGATAGAGCAGCTTGCATCCATTATTATGGATCCATCGTTATTATATGGTATCGATTGATTTGATAATCATTAAATATTTATTCTTGTTCAACATAATTAAACAAATTGTCATTAATGATTAAATCATTCTTTTCATGACGTCTTCACACATAATACCTAGACACAAACTCATATCTTAGTAAATGATATGTAACGGTATCAAGGTTTTTGTAACTACGATTTTGATATTTTTTTGTTTACATAGATATCGTATCTTATTTTCATCCATGCACTCTGGATGACTAACGCAAAATTAATAAATTCATTAATCCCTTCAACGAAATGCTCATTTAATAGTCCATCGATTAATCTAAAGTCAATCTAAGAATGATCCGAATTCATTTTAAACAAAATAATTTTTAAATTACTAATTAATTTTGTAATTACTTAAAAAACTTTTATTAATAAATCTATGTTTTATTTTTTATTTTTAGATACTAGTTATTTTTTTAATGAGTAAACATTTAAAATATTTCTAATAACTTAATTTCTTATGTACTTAATATAATTTTGAAAAAACTTAATTTTTTCTGAAAATAATTAATATTGTAATTACTTAACTATTTAAGTTAATGAACAACTAAATAAGCTTAATTACTAATAAATTTTAAATTTACTAAATAATTATATATTACAATTCAAATAATATTTAATTCAATTAATTCAATTTGTAATTACTTAATTAATACCTTAACTTAATGAATCACTAAATAACCTTAATCACTTATTAATTTTTTAATTACATATTAAATCTAAATTCAACAAGTATATATTACTTTTTTTAATGCAACTTATTTTTTTAATTACTAAGCATTTAAAATATTTGTAATAACTTAATTTTTTATCTATTGAATATAATTTTGAAAAAACTTAATTTTTTTCTTATTAATTAATATTGTAATTACTTAAATATTTAACTTAATGAACAACTAAATAAGCTTAATTACTAATAAATTTAAAATTTACTAAATAAAAATATATTACAATTTAATTAATATTTAATTTATTGATTAATTTTTTAATTACTTAATTAACACCTTAACTTAATGAACCACTAAATAACCTTAATCACTTATTCATTTTTTAATCACTTAATCACAATAAGTTAACTAAATTAGCAATTACCAATAACACTAATAACAATAATAATTAAATTAACAACATAAAATAATAATAATTAAATTTTCTAACTAAAACAATTAACAATTAAACTAAGTAAATTCACAATTAACAATCAAATTAGTTCAATCAACAATTAAAAATAACAATAACAATAACAATAAAATTAACAATTAACAATAATATTCAATAAATCAATAATTAACAATTACATTAACAAAAAAATTAACAATTAATATTAAATTAATAATTAAACATTTAATTAACTATCGAATTAACACTAATTAATACCAATACATTTTTTTAAACAAATAAACTATCTAAATTAACACATTACAATAATATTAATTAAATCATCAATTAATAAAAAAACAACACATGCAATAAACAATTATAAGTAATTAAACTAAATTTAATTGTTCATTTTAATTAAATTATATTAATTAACTAAATAAATGAAAAAATATAAAAATAAAACGAGGGGTTAGATGGGGGTGGACCTTTCGCCAAGAGAAGGAGGAGAGGGCGTTGCATTGATGGAAGCCTTCGTCGGAGATGTTTGGTCGAAAAATGGCCGATGGAGAGATGGAGAGAAAGAAAGAAAGGAGGAGGAAAAGAGGGAAGAAAGGGGGATTTTTGGAGAGGAGAAATGGTAAGAGGAAAGAGAGGAGAAGATTGGACAGAGAAAATAGCAAAGGAAGCGGATATGAGGTGCTACCGGAGGAGAAGTAGAGAGGAGGTGGAGAGAGAATTGAAACTACCAATTCTCGGGGAAAAGGCAAATTTTAAAAGGTAAAGGTTTAGCGACGAAATAAGGAATGCGATGATTCTTTGCCCTCGTAGAATCGTCCATTGCTAAACCCGTCGCTAATAGTGTTTTTAAAATAAAAATTTCAAAAATTAGTCGTTTCCCACCAATAGTTTGATCATACCGACGGTCTTCGGACCGTTGCTAATATGATTTTTGGCAATGGTTATTTTTGGAAAAACCATTGCAAAAATTGGTTTTAATATTTTTTTACTTTCTATATTTTTTTTAGCAAGGGTTTAGCGACGGTCTTGGACCGTCGCTAACCTAGTTATTTTGCAACGGTTTTTTATTAAAAACCGTTGCTAATCAAAAATTTTCTCGTTACAATTCTTTTGATTTTAGAAATGGTTTAGCGACGGTCTACGTACTATTGCTAAACCAAATTTTTTGAAACGATTTTTAATTTGCAATGATTTTTTATTAAAAAATCGTTGCTAATCGTAAATTATTTTTTTTCCAATTCTTCTCATTTTAGAAACGGTTTAGCGACGATCTATGAACCGAAATTTTTTTTTGCAATGGTTTTTTATTAAAAACCATTGCTAATCTATTTTTTTTTAAGAAACGGTTTGGCGATAGTCCCGGGATCGTCACTAGACCGAATTATTTTTTGCAACGGATTTTTATTAAAAAAGCGATTGCTAATCATCCTTTTTTTTGTGAGGTTATGTCATCTTAGCAACGGTTTTAACAACGGTTCCGAGACCGTCGTGAAACTTGCAATGATTTTTTTCATAAAAACCGTCGCAAAAACAGTTTGCGTGTAGGGAAAAAATTAAACCCGTGAAGTTAGCAATGGTTTGGTTAGACCGTTGCAAAAAAATGGTCGCAAATAGGAATTTTAATAACCTATTTTTGGATCGTCGCTAAATCGCTTAAAACCGTTGTAAATTTTTAAAATTAGCAACGGGTTTTTGACCATTGCTAAATTTCCATTGCAAATCCATCTTTTTGTTGTAGTGGATATTACTTGATGTAAGCACTACAAAGAAAAAAAATTGCAAGCCAAAGCAGGAGAAATCATTTAGGTCGATATGTGGTAAAAAAAAGAAAAAAAGTTAAAGGACAGCAAATGTTAAATGTGATACATTCTATATCTTTGTAAAAATTGCTCATGATATTCTAGTTGGCTAGCAACTATTGTTGCTTTCGAAACTATATTTAGTGTTGAAAGTAGAGTAATTAATGATTATCTTATATTTTTATTTTCAAAGGTTATGGAGGCGATAACTACTGAAAGTAATTTTTTTCCTTACTTTCTTTGCACTCTTTGTCTTGTAGTATTATCATTTTCGAATTTGACTTAACAAATATTTATTTTACTATCACGTGAACTAAGAAAAATGAAGATGGTGGTATATGAGAAATTGAAATGGAAAGAAAATTGAAAGCGGATGAGGGTTGGGAGTTAGGGTTGTGGATT